TAATTAAAAGAAAAGATCAAATATTATGAACAAAGTTAAGATAATAATGAGTATTAAAAGCTTTAAGAGCGTTTTAATGATTAAAAAATGCAATTGTAACTCTTATAATAAATGAATGATCAATTAAATGAAGAAATTATAATAGCTAATAATACTATTGCAAATTTAGAGAATCAAATACAAAAATAAGAACACTAAACTCATAATTTAAATAATACATAAAAAAATCTTACTTAAAAATTGAAAATTGAATAGATTGATAAAGAAATATAAGTTGATTTAATATCTCCTCTTATAGAATAGAATAAACTATTATTAGAGCGTTTACATGAAAATCCTGAACCAAAAGGCAAAGAATTAATAATAATTAATTCAAGTTAAGCTATTGAATTAAGAAGATAAATGGAGACATTAAAATAAGAAGTAATTATTTAATAATTATATTAGCTTTGTGAAAGATTAAATCAATATAATAATTTGATTCAAAATAAATAATTATCAGAAATAAAAAAAAATATAAAAATAGATATTAATCAATTTCATGATACTTATATTTAAATGTTTAGAAATATAAACAGGCCAATCTAAAATGTTGAGCAAGTAAGTAAAATCTTAAGTCCAATATATTAAGATGAACTCAATGAATTCCTTGGATAATTAAGTGATTTTTTAGATAAATTTAGGTTGGTTTCTATATTATGATAAATTATATTTTATAAGCTTTCTTTTTAATGCTAATATAAATATAGAAGAAATATCAAAAATAAGTTTTTTATAGGAAAACTAAAATAATTAATAATTACATATATTTTTTAATTCTTAAATTCATTAAAATTCTTAATTTTATACAAAAATGTAATCTTTTTATAATACAAGTGGTTATTAAAAGTTAAGCTCTAATATTACAAAGACATAACTAAAATAAGTAATTTCTAAAAGAAAGCTTTTATTTGTGAAGAATTTGATGGATAAAATATAAAAATTATAAGATATTAATAAGCAACCTTATTCATTATGGAGTAATTTTTATGTTAGATTAAGAGGCTAATATTTTAACTTTAAATATTATTTTATGAATGATAGAAATCAGTTATTTTCATCAATTTTGATATGTAGATATAAATAATATTGAGAAATTCTATAAGTAATTAATAATTTTACATAATCTAAAGTATTCAATCACTTAATTGTTAAACATTTATCCTTAATATATAATTTTATTTATCTAAGGAAATATTGATTACAATAAAAATTCAATTTTTATAAATTATTTATGTATAGAATAAATTATAATTTATATAAATGAAATGATAAAAGTTTATATAATTATTTTACATTATATAACAGAAAGTATTTTTTTTGAATTTTATTCTAATGTCATATTTGTTTATATTACATATACTTTTTGAAAGATTTTGTGACAAACAGTGATCATAATTCTATATTTCTATATTAAATAAATAATAATATATAATAAATTTAATGTACAAAGGAAACCCCACAGAAGTAAAAAGCAGCACAGGGTAGAAGATAACAAGACCATATAGTTAATAAAAGTATCTTTTAAGATAACTTAGGGAGTATATAGATATTAAGTCTTCACTTAAATAGTAATCATATTCTTGTGAAAAATCAAACTAATCCACAATATTGAAAACCAAAGTGTCTAGTAAATAATAAGTAAAGAACAAAATGAAACCAACATAAACGCGATTTTAATTTTAATAACCTTAGAGTTTATAAACAACTCATCGTTATAATCATTCTCCATATGTTAAGCCTCATTAATAATAACAAATATTTGAGTTATAGAAAACAATAATGGCTGATTCTAACCGAATGGGTAATAATGTAAATCAAATGAAGTTTCACTCTTAATAAAATAAAAACCCGTAACATATATAAAGGCATCATAAATCATATTAAACAAATTGTTAAGAAAAATAAACCTAAAGTTTAAATGGTAGTTTTGAACTTAAAAAAAGAATATTTACAACTAATTAAGATGTTAATACATAATTTAATATGATTGCAAAATCTAATAGAGCATAATCTGTAATTGATGAATATAAAACTACTGCTATTGAATTATAATAAACAATGAAAATCCCAGAACCAATCTTACCTTAAAGAGTTATACCTTATGATTCAGAGTAAAAATACTAAATTTCATAAATAGAACTGAATTTGAAGGATACAGAAAAGGAGAGTTTCTAACTTTCCAATCAGAAGATGAAAGTGAAAGTGAAAATTCATAAAGAAAAGCAGGAATTGAACATTTTTTAAAAAACTTAACAGATAAGGAAATTTTGTTATTAGAAAAATATATATATCTAAGAAAATATGATATGATAGCTAGAAATCCAAGAACATCGAAAAAGAATGATCAATTTTTTAATAATAATACTTCAAGAACTTCTTAATAATATTAGTAATAATATTCTAAGATAAGTAGATAAACTAAAAAATGAATTTATAATTATAATATTTATATAAAATTTCTTCTTATTATTTATTACTTTCATATTAATCAATTGGAAAGTTTAGCCGTAAGATCTTCTGATTTTTTGACAGAATCCACATGATCAAAGACTAAATTGTAAGCCTTTTAGACTACTTCAATTTCCGATTATCTATAATAGAAATTATGAAATACCTTTAAGTTTATCTACTTATATAAGCTTAATGATATTATTCTTATTATTCTTTAGTTAATTACAAAAGTTCTTCAGTGATTGGAATATCAATAAGCAATTGTTCCTTTTAAGCCAAAACAATTTTCTAAAATAATAGTTGTTTATTGCTTTTACCTATTGATTCAACTTGTCATTAAATTATTAATTTAAGTTTTCAAGATCTGTTGATAATCTCTTTCTTAAAGTTTCAATTTCACTCATAGAAGTATCGAAATTTTAAGAAGCTACTTCTTCTGCTGCAATATCTTCACTCAAACTCTTACTGGCACCATCTCTAATTTATACTAGTTTCTCTAATATCCTTTAGACAGTAGGAACATCAAATCTGGTAGTTAATTTTATAAGTATAGTGACAGGGTGATTTGGACCAAATTATTCATGGCATTCAGCATGTATTTATGTCAAAATAGCTTATCTATCTTATTCTGAAGTCTATTGATCAACTGCTCTACTCAATTTTTCAATGATTAGATTTAATGCATTAATAACTTTATTTGCTTATTCAACTCTTCTATTATAAGCTTTAATATCAGCAGCTCTAGCATTTCTGATGAATTGTTCTTATTCATTAAGAATTGCTAATTGTTTTTCATAGGTTAAGATAGTTTCTCTAAGAATTACCAATAATTCAGCTAAAGTCTAAATTAATACATTAGCATTAGCTAGATCTGTATTTAATCTTGATAGATCATCTTCTAATTCATTAATATTCTAATCAAAAACTGCCATCTATCTTGAATGTGCAACATCATCATCTACTTGATCTTATTTTAATGAATCCAATAATTCTTAAATAAGTTTTAAGACTTCATCTACTTATCCTCCTGTTTCTAATTTAATTTATACTAATTCCTTCAATTAATCACTATATGGGCTTTGGCTAAACTAATAAGTTTAATACTTGCATATACTTAATGAAATGACTTCATCAATAATGAGGCTTAAGGAGTCATGGCTGATAAGCAAACTCCTATTGTCAATACCAATATATTAAAACGGATTAAGCTCATTATTATATAAAAAATAATTATTAGAGAAAATGTAAATAATCTATATATTATTAAATTGGATTGATATTTCATTCATTTTAAACCTATTTTCTAACTGCATCACTTAAAGAATATTAAGATCTCTCATATGAATCAACTTTCTAATATTTTTATAGATTATCAATAAATACCCTATCATTAACATAGTCATCAACTCTTTATTTGAATTTATCTTCAGAAGTTCCTACTTAAGTAGAATAAATTCTGTAAACATCAGTAAATAAATTAAGTTCTTCTTATAATCTTTCTTTATTTTTATTATATTAAATTTCTTCATTTTTTAAGTCCTATCAATATTTTAATTATAATATACTTCAATAGCTCTTTATTATTATTATTATAAGGCAACTCCTTTTTCTCTGCAATTAACAGCAGCTAATTTTGCCTAAACTAATTGTTCTTCTAATTTTATGAGATTCTTTTATTCAGATGAAAGATCATAATTAATTTATTCATTTTCTATATCTATAGCTCCCTTGAAATCAGCTAAAGTAACACCTGTTGCAATCTCTAGATTTTATACATTTTTTATTTGTTCTCTAATATACCTTTCCATATCATTAAGCATTTCAATTAATTATCCTTTAACAGTATTGATATTTCCTTATGAAGAAGGTGTAACTTAATTCCAATCAATAAACATTGTATCAGCAAATTCATGTGCTAATTCAACCAATTCTGAAATTTTGGCTTATTTGTACATTGTTAAAAACTTTTCAACATAAGCACCATATCTATTTAATTGATTATTGTCTAAATTTTAAAGTGAGTTTCTCAAAAATATTATTAATCTTAAAGTCATATTATCATTTTTGACTCTTTCAATATAATTTGAGGAATGGGTACATCTATTTTAAATTGTATATTTTACCTATTGGCATCAAGAGTATGAATTCTATTTGAATTATCAACAAGTCTCTTTTATAAATAAGCAATATATTTATTTGTTTTATCAATATCTGATTCTCTATCAGAGACAGATTTATCTCGACTTGCGCATAAAAAGTTTTATTCTTAGTAAGCTTTACCTAAATTGAATATTATATTCTCTTTGAGCTAAAATGCTTATTAGAATTGTACATTTTTAGAAACTGTATAATCTGTATTAAGTGCTGTAAGTTCAACAGCTGATGCTCCTTTTAAGTCAGCCAATAATTTTTCGACTGTGTCAACTTCATTTTGGCACATTACACCAACAACTAGCAATAACAATAGGGTCTTCATGCCGTTTTTTAATTTTTTTATAATATATTAAATGAATTTTAGTTAAGAATAAAATAAAGAAACAAGTATTTTTTACAAATCAAAACTTTGTACTCATTGGTCAACAAGTAATTTTATATATTATATATATTTTAGAAGGACATTGTGCTAAATAAGAAAAATGTAATTATGCTCATGGAGAAACTGAATTGCGAAATATACCACAAGAATATTTGACTCATACTCAACCTAATAATTCTAGTGCTTTTTCTATTAATAATGAAGGACAAACTAATATGGCTGTGATTTAATAAAATTCAATATAAGGATAACTTTTAAATCCTTTTTGGAAAACTAAAATTTGTAATTTCTATCTTCAGGGAAAATGTAGAAATATTATTGATTGTAATTATGCTCATGTTGAAGATGAACTTAGAGATACTACTAGTTAAGCATGTTAATCAATTTAAAACATACTTAAATTATAAGATCCTGTTTATAGATTATAATTACTAAACTATAATGCTTAATTTTAAAGAAATCTTTTGGAACGTGCCAAAACCATATTTGATTAAATAAGGAAAATGGAATTAATACACAAAAATAATAATGATATATAAGATATGCTTGAAATAGCAAAAGTATTAGTATTCTAAAAAGAAATCGAATAGGCAACTTTGAAAATCATTGAAATAATGTCTTTAGCTGATTTAACTTTAGATGAAAGAGAATAACATTAAGAAATAAAAAGTAAAATTAAAGAATCATTTGAAATCCCTTAAATTTAATTTCCAACCACATTTTAATATCCTCCTGAAGATATTGAAAAAGTGAAATAATTAATGGAATAAGAATAGGGATAACGATTACCAATACCTATGATACCTACAATCAAACCATTTCCTAATCATTAGTAAATTTACTAAGATAGATGTAGAAACCAAAAATTAACATGATAAAATTATTATCTAAATTAATATCTTATTATTTTATATTTAATATTAAAAATGATATCATTTTTTAGCTTGTTATGCTGCTTACTTCTTTTTTTCAGCTTCAAGTCTCTCTTTCTCTTTTTAATCTAACCATTCCTTTTTGGCTGCCTCAAAATTTCTATCATATTTAATATCCTATTAATTTGCAATATTTTATAAAGTAGTTCTACCTTATGGACCTTCAGCATTCTTTCTGCCATTCTAAGGTCCTTTTTTATCTGTCCCATTCTTTAAATCTTCTAATAATTTTAACTATTATCATTATATCATTTAAAATACTGTATTTTCAGGTGTTAAATCCTCATATACCCATTCATTATTCACTTACATCATTGGTGCATTAGCACATGCTCCTAAACATTCAACTTCTTATAAAGTAAATAATCCATCTGCTGAAGTCTCTCCATTTTTAATATTTAATTTTTATTCAATAGTTTTAATAATATCTCTAGATCCACATAATTAACATGGTGTTGTACCACAAACTTGAAGATGGAATTTACCAACTCTTTCTCTATTAAACATTGAATAAAATGAAGCTGTTTCAAAAACATCCATTTCTGGGATTTCTAATAACTTTGCAATCTATCTAATAAATAATTAGAATAACCTTCTTCATTGCAGATAGACTCAAAAAGTTATTATTTTATTTTTGAGCAAGCATTAATAATGGAATAGTCCCTGATTTTTTTTCATTGGTTGGAAATTTTGCCAAGATTTATTCAATTTTTTTATAATTTTCATCTGTAAAATCAAATGGTACTGAATCACTATTATCATCTCTATTTCTATGTGCAACAAACACATTAGAAAATCTTTGAATTGATCTTCTCTGAACTAATTATACAACTTTTTATATCATAAATTAATTAATCAAAAGTTTTCAATTTTATGATCACTAAATTTTTTATAAAGATTAGAATAATCATCAATTTATCTATTATTATATTTTAACTTTTTCATTTATAACTAAAGAAATTTTTTAATATTCTTATAATCCATTATCTAAATTGATGATTTTGTATCTAAGATCTAAATATTGTTAAATATTTATACAATATTGTTTTCTTAAATTGAAATACTATTCTACAGTATTTTTTACTTTTGATTTTCATACTTAATTTTTTCTTTTATATAAGAATTTTATAAATATTGATATTTCAATTTCTATTCTTTATTTTATTATTTCTACTTATCTAAAATTAATTGTTATATATAATTTTTATTCTTTAATTCTTCCAATTTATTATGCAAATCAAATAATTTATTTTTAAGAGTCTAATTTTCATAATTTTCAACTGCATAATTTTATTGTAATTTTTTGTATTTAATCTTTAATTATTCTTATTATTTTTTTATAATATTATATTTAAGGAACAATATATTCTCTAATTTACTTAAAGAATCAGATTTTACTGTATGACAATCTGAATTCTCATCTAACTATTTTATATAGTCATCTATGGCATTAAGAAAAATTGTAATTTTATTTTTATCATCAATTGAAAATTTCTTTATTTGATATTCACTCCTTGATTTGGAACTAATTAATTAGCTTCTTGGATCTTCAAGTGGAGTTTCTCTATTATTGATTTAGAAATTTTTACATGTCTACTTTTGAAATATTCTTATTATTAAAAGTTTATTTAGATTAATGAAGTGAAACAGAATATGAATTATTTAATGTTTTATTATTCTTAAATAATGAATAAAATATACTTATGAAGACATGTGTATTTATATAAGATCAGAATTTAATGATAATCTTCTACTAAGTTTTCCTATTTCTTGATTATTATAGATTATACTTTACTTGCATAATTAATACTCATGTATATATTAATAAATTAATTACTAAATAGAAGAAATTCGAACCAAAGAATTTTTACTATTAAGAATATTTAAAATTAATGAAAAAACTAATTATATTCACCGTTTTTATAGTGATTGTGTATGGTTAATAAGATTTAGCAGAAGCATTCACATAACTATCCTCAAGTGATCCTGATAGAACAAAACTTAATTGGCCCAATTTATCTCAAGCCATTTCAGATTTATTGTGCGATGTTCAACATGTAAGATAAATAGAGAGTGACACAAATCAATAGAAATCAGCATTACTTTAAAAAGTAATAGTTATATATATAAGCATAGTTAATTATTTTGCATGATAGAACTATGAGCTAAATAAAAGTAGATTTAGCAAAACATAAAACAAAACTTAATGATTAATTAACTCCTTATAAAAATGAATTAGATGAGGCTTTAAGATACAGAGCAGGAATTTTAGATCAACAAAAATAGGATTTGAAAATAAATGATGCAGATTTCACAAAGATGAAAGAATCAGCAAAATAAGAAATGGATGATGTTAGCATAGCTTTATAATCAGTGGATTCAGTATATATATATTTAATATAATTTAGATGAGAAAAACTGTGAAAGAATTATTATAAGGAGGATCTGGAGGAAACTCATTTGTAGAGATTAAAACTTCTTTATAAGAGTTCCATACAAAAATTACTTCATTAGCTAAATCAGATTCTCCTCTTTTAACATTAGCAGGTTCACTTTAGGAACTCTTACAACTTGATTTTAAAGACAGAAAAGTTTTAAAAGACCTTGAATAATTATTAGATTAATTTTGGATGAATACTATTGATTATAGAATAGAATTGATAAGTCAAGCAAATAGAAATCAATAACTTTATGAAGATAGAAGATAAGCTATATTATAAGATAAAGACACAACAATTGAATTATACAATTCAAAAATTGAAGAATATAATACTGTCTTTGATGAGATATAAAATATCTAAACTTACATTGAAAATAGATAGAAAGACTTAGATGATAGTGCAAATTCTTAAGATTTCTTTAAGAATATTTGGGGTTTGAATGAGGGAATTACAAATTCAGTTGATAAATCTTTAATTAGCAAAGCTTCAGCTATTTAAGATGCATTGAAACAAATAGGAAATGGAGTTAGTTTTTAAGAGAAATGATTTCTAATTACAAATCTTATGAAAATACAAAAATTAAATAAATTTCTTTTTTAAATAAATGAGCAGTGTTCAATTTGTCAATTCTAAAGCTGAAGTTCTTCGTAAATATTAAGCCTTGGCAATGAATATAAATGCTGCAGCTGGCTTAATGGAAGTGATGAAATCAAATCTTGGACCAAAAGGAACCCTTAAAATGTTAGTTGGAGGTGCTGGATAGATAAAACTTACAAAAGATGGAGCTGTTCTATTATCAGAAATGTAAATTCAACATCCCACAGCAGCTATGATTGCCAGAAGTGCTACAGCTTAGGATGATATAATTGGTGATGGTACAACAAGTAATGTTCTTTTGATTGGCGCATTAATGAAATAAGCCGAAAGATTATTAGCTGAAGGAATTCATCCTAGAGTAATTACAGAAGGATTTGAATTGGCTAGAAAAGAAGCTTTATCATTTTTGGACACTTTCAAGTATTAATAAATTGATAAGGCTGTATTAATAAATGTGGCTAGAACTTCATTAATTAGTAAATTAACTCCAGATGTTGCTAATCAGTAACTAATATAATAAATTATAATTTAGAATTATTGAAATTGTTGTTGATGCAGTTTAAATAGTTCATGTACCTGAGAAACCAATAGATTTATTTATGGTTGAAATTATGCATATGTAACATAAGATGGGAGCAGAAACAGAATTAATTAGAGGATTAGTATTGGATCATGGTGCAAGACATCCAGATATGCCAAAATTTGTTAAGAAATGTTATATTTTAAATTTGAATGTTTCATTGGAATATGAAAAGACTGAAGTAAAATAGATATACATAAATAGGTTCATAGTGGATTCTTTTATAATTCAGCTGAAGACAGAGAGAAATTAGCAAGATCTGAAAGAAAATTAACAGATGATAAATGCTAATAAATTATTGATTTCAAAAGAAAGGTTTGTGAGAAGAATGGTTATGGATTTGCAGTAATCAATTAAAAAGGAATTGATCCAGTTTGTTTAGAAATGTTTGCTAAAGAAGGAATTGTTGGTATTAGAAGAGCTAAAAAAAGAAATATGGAAAGAATTGCAAAGGCATGTGGTGGTAATTCAGTTAATGCAGTTGAAGATTTGACAGAAAGTGATCTTGGATATTGTGAAGTGGTAATTAATTTTAATATATAAATAGTTAAGAGAATATACTTTAGGAGAAGAGAAATATACATTTATTGAAGGAGTATAAAATCCTACTTCATGTACAATTTTAATTAGAGGACCTAATGAACATACTATTGCTTAAATTAAAGATGCTATTAGAGATGGATTAAGAGCTGTTAAAAATGCTATTGAAGATAAATGTGTTATTCCTGGTGCTGGTGCCTTTGAAATTGCCACTAGTGTCCATCTTTAAAAGTTCAAAGATTCTGTTGCTGGAAAAGCTAAATTGGGAGTTTAAGCATTTGCTGAATCATTATTAGTTATTCCAAAAGCATTAGCAGAAAATTGTGGATATGACGTTTAAGAAACACTCATTTAAGTTACTGATGAATATATAAAAAATAATATTCCAGTTGGTGTGAGTGTTAATGAATAAGGTTTTATTGCTCCTATTGCTAATGGCATTTTTGATAATTATTGTTCCAAAAGATCATGGTTGAACATTGCTCCAACATTAGCTTAATAATTATTATTAGTTGATGAAGTATATATTTATATTATAAATTTAGATTATGAGAGCAGGTAAATAAGCAGGAGGTGCTCAATAATGAAAGAATGATATTGTTATGTTAGATTATTAAAAAATTAAGTTAATCAATTGCAAATTTATTTATATGTACACTATTTTGGTTTAGGATTTTAAGAATCTAATTCTTTCTAATAGTTTTCTTCTGCTATTGCTGGATCTGGATTTGTATGATATATCCAATATAGATAACAATATATACTATTGTCATTATCTTGAACTAAGTATAACAATCTTTATTCCATTTTTACAAATGTTCTTTAACCATTATAATTTTATAATTCAGCTGTGAAAAAATTTGATTTTCTAGAAATTGCTTCAAACATCTTACTCCAAATATCTAAATATGATTCAACTCTTATGGCACAAGGTAAAATTTGAGTTTACATTAAATTATATTCCATCATCTCTCTTGTTATACCCATTAATTGAATATATTTAACATTGTTTATATATTTTAAAACTTTAGAACCTGTGGAATCATATCTTATTAGATAAGATTCATATGGAAATTAAGAAGCATACATGTCAACATAGTGTACATCATTAGATTAACTTATTTAAATATTTCTCTTTTTATGATCTAGCATAAAATTTTGAATGTCTTCTTTGCTTTTCTATAAATTCATTTTCTCTAATAAATTATAGATAACATCTATGCTTACACACTACAAATTTCTTGGGAACAATGTGAATACTTATTTATCTTAAAAATAATCAGTTTATAAAACTTTATAGCCTACTGTAAAGATATTTGTGCATAGTTCTCCTAAATTAGAATTTATTTAATAGTCAGTGCTGAAAATTATATCTATTTCTGTTCTTAAATATTCCCTTATTCCTAATTCCTTTGGAATATTAATGATAATTTAAAATTCCTTTTTTATTGCACAGTATTCCTTTTATTCTTTAAACTTTTATTTGTTTATTTTTGAAGATCTCATTAAACCTAAGATTTAGGTGTCAACAATATTTTATTTGTTCTTCATTTATTTGCACAAATGTATCTAAATTAATATATTTAAAATCAATAAACTTTTATGAATATTTAATAACCTTTGTGAGATAATAAGTTTTTAATAATGTCCTAATTTTTTATAAATTAATTTTCATGAAAAATGAAATCATCTTTATAGATTTTCTCATTTCTTAAATTTATTTAAACATTTTATGATAGTATATTTTTTACAATTTCATTATAAATAATATCATATAATTATTGATTGACATATAATATCTATTATATATATATCAACTTTAATATTTTAATCAAAAAGAAAAAGAATAACAATATTTTTAATAATTATTATTAATTAAATACAAATAATTATCATTCTAAATTTAAAATTTATCCAGCTTTAATAATATTTATAAAACATTATAATATCTTAATATTATAATATATTTTTGTAATAATAATTAATTTTTATAAGATATATATAATCATCCTAAATAATTTCATTTTATATTATAATTTAATGTCCCCTTTGCTTTTTTGTTACCTCCAAAGAATCTTTTATTTGATAGTTTTGCTATTTTAGTTCCAAATTGTATGGCCTTCTTTCCATGTTTAGAGATAACACTAAATATCTATAATAATTATTTACTTTAAACCTTCTTTTTAACAAATAATTCTTAAAATGGATTTTGTATCCCCCATAATATATTAAGATGGATGAATATTTTATCTTATAAATTAAACTAATTCAATATTTAAGAATGGAAATCTAAGTTCTTTACCATTCTTACTAACAGCTCTATCATCTCTACCTAAATTTCTATTCCATAATCTAAATAAATCAAAATTCATTTCTTCAATTAATTCAGCATATCCTCTTTTTAAAGCATGTTTATATCGAGCATATCCACAAAAGATTTCATCAGCTCCTAATCCACTAAGAAGTACTCGAGTTTCTACATTATATGAACTAGCTATATTTAATATCATAGCTATATTAAAATCCATATGTGTAATTTTAGGATATAATATCTCTAAAAATAGTTTTTCCTCTTTATATACATCATCGAGTGTTTTATCAATTAATATTAGATTCAATAATTAATTTTTATGTAGATTCTATAATTCTTAATGAGCATTTCTTGCTGTGATTCTATCAGGAGCATCATTTGTAAAAGCAACATTAATTAAATCAATTTATGAATTATCAGGTAATAATTTACAAACTATATGAGTTATTAAACTACAATCTATTCCACCACTAAATAATATACCTATTCTTCCTTATTATTAATTCTATTTTATATTTTAACCATTAATAAAGTGATTTTAAAAACCAAATATATTTTAAATAATTTCTTTAGTACTTTTTATTAAAATATCATAAATTTTACAAATATTTTAATCTAAAGTGTTTTAAAGATCAATTTATTAAATTTGATCAAAATTTAAGAATTCAGAAATTTAAATTTTATTCCATTAAATTTATTATCCACTTAAATCTATCTCTATTATTGAATTATTAGGTAATTCAATACAAGATTTATTAATAGCTTAATTAAATTCATTCAAGTACTTTTTCATTAAATATTTTTCATCAACTGTTTTTCCATCATCTTCATCATCTTCTTCTTCCTCAATTTCTAATGGAATATTCTTTTATAAAGCTTAAGAAGATAAAATAAATCCTTCATTAATGAAACTTAATAACATTGATCTTTTACCAAATGGATCTTTGGCAATATAGATTTTTTGTTGTGATAAATCTTGAAAAATTAAACTATAATCTCCATTTAATTATTATAATAAGTTTTTTATATCATGAATTGAATTAGCCTATTGTAATCTATTCATGAGAAATATAGTATCTGATTCATCAGGATTTATATTATAGATTTCTCCATTATATTATAATATAAATTATTCTTTTATTAAAGGTTATTTAATTAAAGTATCTTAATCTCCTCTCATATGAAGTAAACTATGATATAAAAGTTAATAATAAGGTTAATGAAGTTCAATTTTTCCTTAATAATCTGGCCCTCTTGCATTAAGCAATTACAACTTATCTAAGTCAAGATCAATATTATTAGGCCTTTAATTTTGAGTTAATAACTCCTCAATTACTTCTGGTCTTTTAGTAATATATGGAGAATTCAAATACTCCTAATATAAGTTGAAATTGAATTTATGAGGTTTGTTTATAATAATTAATGCAAATATTCCACACATTATTAGATTAATTAATTATTTATACAAAAAAGTATTCTTAATTTATTTTATTTGATAAAACAATTAAAAAGTGTGTTTGTAGTCAATATATTAATAATAATTTTAAATAATATTGTTTTGCATAGTTAGAATTATATGGAATTCGTCAAAAGAAATCAAAAATATTATAATTAGAATTATAAATAAAAATTAATCTAATAGATAAATGAATAAATATTATTCTAAAATATTAACAATACAAAATTAAGAACAAATTATATAAATATATAGGGAAATAGAAATATCATATAAAAATTATGTTATTTCTATTTAAACATTTTATATATCTCAAAATTATAAATGTTTTACTCAAACAAAATTTATATAATAAAATTATAATTATTAGAATAATAATAATAATTTTATTATTTAAATATTAACAATTAATTAATATATTTGAGTAAAAAATTTAATTTTGAGACTATTTTTTTTCTTCCTCCATATTAGGATAAGCTTGTGATATTTTCAATTATAAATTGAGATAAATAGATATAATAAAAACAATTTAATTAGAATTTACCCAAACAAATTAAAAAATGATGGATTTTGAATTATTAATACCGATAATTTCATTTAGTTGTATGATGATTTCTTCAACCTTGATTAAGATGGATAATTAATTTTAAGACTTCAATACTAACTATTTAAATAAAAGTATAAATAAAAAAGAATAGTTTATTGAAATCTATATTTTTTCGATAAAAAAATAATTTTTCATAATAATTTGTATAAATAAATGAATATAAAGAATTCATTTGGTTTAATCTTCTTTATTCAACATTTCTATAAATTAAATATTATTTGATTTCTATATAAAATATGATGGCTAGTTGATTTTACATTTGAATTATAAACATATCCAATAGCTTCTTTTCTTAAAAATCTATAAGCTATAATTCTAAATAATTTTTATTGATCATTATCTATTAAGTGTTTCTTAATATGGTTGATATTTTTTATATTATTTTTCAATTACGTTAAGATTTTTAAAAATTCTATCCCTTATTTTTCACCTAAGTATTTTAATATCTCTATTCTCTATCTTATTATGTATTAAACAATTGCTTTTGCATAATTCTTTTATATGTTAGTCGACTTTTGCGACATATTTAATGCAGATATACATTTTTTTTATTTCAGTTTATTTGCGACAACAATTTAACCATTGCTTTCCTCTTATTATTTCACTTATTTTTTCACTTAGGATGTCTCTGTAGGTGATTTAGACATATCCAAAACTGTATTCTTTTCCTCTTAGTAAGATCCCTAGGTGTATTGTTAATTATGGAAGTAAAGTTCCTATTATCCTAAATAACCTTAAACGATAGGCATGTAATAAATTGGATAGATGATTGGCTATTAGGCTTGAATGTATGCAGTTGGAAATGGTTAATTCCACATTAGTTTTTTAATTATTATTAAAGCAATTTCATTTTACTTTATAAAGCGAATTTTTCGGTTTATTTCCTTTTAAAAAAAATAATTGAATTTAATAAAACTGTAGTATTTTATTAAAGTGATCACAACTGAAAAGCCTACTCTAGTGCAAACTAATCAGAAGGACCTTCTTTATGGTATACATGTATCTGTAATCTCATAACTGAGTTAAAGAAGTATATCAGTAATAATTTTCTTAATAGTGATTTTTTATAGAATATATTGTCAGTTATATTACTAAGTAAAATTTGTATAAATTTTCTTAAATTAATTCTATCTTTTGATTACTCTTAATAACTTCTAATCATACTTCTAGACTTAACAGAATATTCCTATAATTTATTTTAATAGGCAGTTTTAGTATTTTTAGATGAAAATTAAAATTTTTCAATTATCAAATTAAATTAATCTAATTTATTTTTTTAAATGCATGTTCAAATAATAACATATGAACTATAAGTGATATTAATAAGCAATTAAAATTAAGATATTTAAAATCAAGTGTTATAAATAGGCATTAATTTTTATAAAATATTAGATAATTATTAAGATTCTGAAAATTTGAATATTCTAATATTAAGTTAGTAGATATATATATAAATAATGAAATTATTAATTCATAAAAGCATATTTTTAATTAATCATCAAGAAGAGATCATTATTCTTATATTAATAAATTATACCAATAATAATTATTGTTGTTATAAAATATATTATTTATGCTTGTATACTCAAAATATTTAGAAGGAATCAAAGAATGTTATGATAAAAAATTTAAGAATGAAGCTTAAAATTAATATTTATGATCAAAAAAAAGAAAATTAATTGATAATAATTATTTGGTTTTAAAAAGAATATAAAACAAAGAATTATAAGAGAAAATTAATTACAGTATTCGTAAAAGTTACAATAATATATAAAATTGAATTATTATTCAAAAAAATTGCCACCATGGCCTTTCTTATTAAGGTCTATTTCTACTAGATGATAATAGACCACAACATAATCCATTATTATTTCCAGATCCTTTTACTCCTTCTTATTTTATAACTTATTATTAAATGATTTGAGGTCTATGAGAGAATATTTTATATTAGGTTGGTTTGACATCTTTAAGCATCTTTTAAACTTCCTCTTTTGCACAATGATGCTTTGATAACTAGAGGGCTGTCTTACCTTTAGTACTTAATTTATCTTTTGATGCTCCTCTTGAGAGCAAGAATCGAATAACATCCAAATTTACTCTTAAATCTCTTGGATTTAATTTATCTTTGACAGCACAAAAAAGCATTAATAATGTATATCCTTTATCAGCATTTACTACTGCATCAATATTTGCTCCATTTTCAATTAACAATTCAGCCAATTTAAAACATAATTGCTTATTCTCAAAATAATTAGTTTCCTCTTCTAATCTGCTAAAACAATAAAATAAAGGCACAGATCCCTTTGAATCAGCTTAATTTACATTTGCATCTTGTTAAACTAGAAGTTCAGCTATCTCATAATATCCATTGCTACAAGCCAATTTTAATGCTGACAATTCTTATGGTTTAGTAACCATATTCACTTCTATGGCCTCATTTTATAAGAGTAACTTAACTATTTCTAGTTAACCTGTTGCAACTGCCAAGGCTAAAGGGAATATTTATTTATCTATAAAATCTTCACTAAATTCTTCTAAATAATTTAAATCTCTAAGATGAATTTTCATTGATTTTAATTAATCAATGTTACCCTCATAGATAGAATGCAAAATGAGTTATTCAATATTGCAAATATTAGTATTCGAAAATCGATATGCTATAATAAATAAGAAAAAATTACTTGATTCTTCTTTCTTGATTTCAATTGTTTACATATCTGGAGTAGGATCAGCATTTACTTATGGCAATTCTCCTATTACCTAATGAGAATTTGATCTCATTAATTTTATGTTTTATAATTAATGTGTATGTTAAAATTAATTCCAAAAGAACAATTCAAAGAATTACTTGTTTCAATTAAAAAACTATAAATAAACTTATCTTTTTTCAACAGATCTACTAATTTATACATTATTAATTTAAAAATGTTATGACATACCATTATATCCTAAGTAAATAACTATTTAATATAGTACTTTTTGATTGATATGAAAATTGTTTAAGTATTTTGTTAATTTAATAATTTATTTAGTTATATTACTAACATTCTATTTCTATTTGAAATATAACAATTACAATGAATAATATTAAAAAATATCAGATAAACAATGATTTTCATCAAGAATTTAAGATTAAATATTAAATTTATAAAAGAACCAATATATTATGGTGATTTCTAATTATAAGTTAGAATAATTGGGGAACGCAAAATAGGATTATTAATAAGGCAATCAACAAAATACTTTCAAATTTAGAAATGCTTTAATTGATAAGGCTATGTTTCCTAAAGATTATATTTTTCAGAAATCTAATTAATCTTTTGCTATTATAATTAAAATCAATAATTTGAATGACAATTTTTGGAATGTTTTCCATTCAAATTTTTAAAAATACATGCTTCTCAAATTTGTCGAATGTTTAATTTTTTGTATTTAATTCTCTGTCTTCTTTTAATTAAGTAGTTTATAAGAATAATATGATAAAATTAAATGGGAATATTATCAATGTTTTTGGTATTGCATCTATTTCTTGATCGAATTAATCAGATTAAGATTCATATTATAAAAAGTGTAATTAATAAGAAATTTTAAAGGTGTTATTAAATCATAAATAATTATAGATATGGATTAATAATAGGGAATTCCTGCTGACTAAATAAACTAATTAGTAAATAAGCATTTCGAGGATGCATTGCCAAAATTCATAGAGATACTCAAGATTCCTAGTCAATCAAGGATGTTTGATCCAGAATACTTAACAAATGGATTATTGATGAAAACTGCATAAGAATTCAGAGATTACATTTTAGCATCAAATTTAAAGAGTATTAACTATATATTAATAATAATTAGATGCTAAAGTAGAACTTTTATCAGATGAGGGATATTCTCCATTCTTATTTGTTGAAGTTGATGGATCTGAGGGTCAAACAGATGGAACAGTATTATTCTATGGTCATATGGATAAATAACCACCATTTAATGGCTGGAAAGAAGGATTAAGTGCTTATGAACCAAAAATAGTGGATGATAAATTATATTGTAGAGGAGGAGCAGATGATCATTATTCAATCTTAGGAGCTGTTATAGCAATTAGAACAATATAAGAATTAGGTTTAAAACATCCAAGAATTGTAATGACATTTGAAGCAGATGAAGAAAGTGGATCAGCACACATTGATCATTACTTAGCAAAATTAAAAGAAAAAATAGGAGCTGTTGATTTAGTTGTATGTTTAGATTCAGGATGTGGTAACTATGAATAATTATGGATTACTACAACTTTAAGAGGTATGGTAGGTGCATGTGTTACTGTTTAAGTCTTAGATGAAGGAGTTCATTCAGGTGATGCATCAGGTGTTGTACCATCATCATTTAGAATATAAAGACTTCTTTTAGATAGAATTGATAATCCAAATACTGGAGAAGTTGTTGAAGATTTTCAAGTCAATATTCCAGGAGAAAGATATTTACAAGCTTAAAAGGCAGCTGAAGTATTAGGTAGAACTACATTAACCAAATTCCCATTTTATGGTTCAACTTAACCAACTACTTAGGATTATTTCAAAGCATATTTGAATAGAATCTGGAAGGCATAGCTTTCAGTTGTAGGAGCTGATGGTTTACCACCTGCTAAGACAGCAGGTAATGTACTTAGACCTGAAACTACATTGAAATATTCATTAAGATTACCACCAACTAAAGATCCAAAGGAAGCAGAAGCTGCATTTGTCAAACTTGTAATATTTATCATTTTATAAATCATTATAGTTAACCACAAATGTTCCTTATAATGCCACTGTCAAAATAACTGGATTAGGATCTGGTTCAGGATTCAATGCTCCATAAAGTTAACCATATTTAGATTAACTCATCTAAAGTGCCTCCTAATAATATTTTAAAAAAGATGCACAAACCTTAGGTGAAGGAGGTTCTATTCCTCTTATGAATACTCTAAAAGAATAATATCCAAAGGCTTAATTTATAGTAACAGGAGTTTTGGGACCAAATTCAAATGCACATGGACCAAATGAATTCTTGCATATCCCTTTCACAAAAAATTTGATTAGTTGCATCACATACATTGTAACTGGTCTACAAGCCCATTTAAAAAAATGAGTTATAATCAAAAACATACATATAACAGAAGGAAAATTATTCTTATTTTATTTTTAACAGGACTGAATCATAAGATCCAGTTTTTTCTTTTGTTATTTATTTCATTTAATCATCAGAGTAACATAGTAATATTATTATAAAGTATTTTTAAGAAAAATATATATATTTTTTATTAATTATAGAAAATATCATAGTAACTTTGAAATCTCTGAAGAGCAAATAATTTCCTTTAAGATTTTATAAGGAATAATGGAATGTTAATATCATTAGGGTAAAGCATGCTAAAAAAACTAATTAATAAAAACATAGCTTAATTTATATGAAGAGTAAAGAGAACATATTCTAAATTCATAGATTATTATTAAACTTTATATTAATCAATTTTAAAAGCATTTTTAAATGTAAAATCTCATATAATATTAAGAAAGTAATGAAATATGAGAATACATTATAAATAAAAGAAAAGTCAATTAACAGAATCAAGATAGTCTTTATTAAAAATATTAATTAGAAAATGACATCTTTTAATTTGATTATAATTATAAAAGAGTTTAAGAATTAAACACAAATAATTGTTTGATAAAGAAGATAGTAAAATATTTGTATAAAACCAACTGCATTAATGCCATAAAGATGATAAGATATATAATTATTCAGTTTTGAGTAAAAAGTTTATTAATATTATGAATATATAAATATAATAATATAACCTATGGGTGCTGTATGTTGTACAGAATAATTTGAGATTAGAGGAGAAATAAATACAAAAATATTTAAGTTAGATAATAATAATTAGTTAAATGGTAATGGAACAGTTACTATTTCAAAGGAATTATATGATAGTAAGGATAAAATATAAGTATAAATGGGGATTTGTTATTCATGTTAAGTATTGAAAATCAGTTGTGAATGTAAATCCATCCAAAAATTAGATGGAGATAAAGATGACGAAGAAATATTTATACTTTCATCTCGATCACTGGATAGTTCATCTTCTGAATCACGTCCAGACGATACAAACACTAAAAAAACAATTTTAAAGCATTAATTACATTATGTTTCTAATGTATAATAATAACAAATTCAAATAAAAAAGAAGGTTAGATTCGATTTATCTAAGAAATAATGATATTAACTAATATATTATGTTTTACTTAATATAAATATACATTCATTCAACTTTTTGTTTTTCATCACCTTCTACTACTTTTTTTGGAGAGTCTTCATCTTCTTCTTAGTTTTCAACCTATTTTTTTGATTCAGATCTATCTTCATCCTATTCTTATGATTTAACTTTATTTTTTTATTTTTTTTATTTTTTATTTCTCTCAGGAACACAACAAACTAAAAATAAAGAAATTATATACTTATATATGATAGTAAAACACCTACTAAAAAAAAAGATGATAGTACAAGCCATTCCTTTAATTCAAAAATAGAAAAATCAGATAAGTCTTATTATTTATTTTAATTGCGCTATCTCTTTCTACCTCCATCTTATTGATCATTTCCATCACCTCCTTCATATTCTTTTTGTTATTGTTTAACCAAATCATCAATTGATTTAATGATTTTAAGAATTTCATTTTTTTTTGCACTCTTTTTTTTTGATCCATATTTTTTTAGATCAGCTTTTTCAACTAAATGTTTATGTGCTTCTAAATTTATTTTTTATTATTGCAATGATTAAATAATCTATCTATTATAAATATACTTACATCCATTGTTTACTAAGTAGAAATACTATCTAAACATGATTCAACTAAAGAAGCAACAGCAAACATAACTGCATCATCTTATGTTAACCCTTATTATTGAACCATTTCTGCTACAGTTCTACCAGCTAATTCCTAATTGGACTGCAAATAGTATTTAGAAAAGATAACACAAGCAGCATTTTTCAATTATTGTTCATCTTATATTTGACCATAAGCTAATGATAACACTATTAATATTAACATTATTTAATTATTTATATATAAATTCTAATAATTTTTAAATGTAAAATTTAAGTTTTGGATCAAAAATTATCTCAAATTGAATTATATACTTTTTTAAAGATATTTAAGATTATAGAATAAATAATTTATTTATATAAATCATTCATTAATTACAATATGATCTTCCCTTTCTAATTTTCTATGCTTTCTAAGGAAAATTTTAATTAAGTTATTTAAGAATTAGTAATTTTAAAATGAATTAGACATTATTATGTGGAAAATATTCAGTGTAATTTTAAACTTTATCTATGTCATCTAAAGTATAAGAAAAGTAACTTTCTCTAAGTAATTATAATTATAAATATTTTTCTGAGTTTTATTATGCTTTATAAATAGATTTACGTTAATTTTAAATAATTGAGTGCTTTTTTGAGTTTATTTATGTTGTGGATTAAGCTTAACTTTATGAACTCCGAACTTATGAATTTTTCATATGTTTTTTTATTGATAAATTTGATTTTAATAATTGATAATGCATTTAATCATCTTCAAACTTAACTGAATTGTTTTCAGAATTTTTTTCTTTAATACTACCTATCTCTGATTGAGCATATAATTATGTAAAATCTTTATCATCTTAGAATTCTAAAGCTGCATTTTAAACTTCATCATTCTCTAATAAAGTATGAAATTTATATATCTTTCTTTAAAAATAAGATCGATTATTTTTGAGGCTATAATTATTTTTTAGAATTTTAATATAAGAATTAGGATTGTATTATATAAGTGGACACTTGATTGATGGGTGATTTTTTTAATTACATATTTAACAACTTTGTTTTAAAAGTGTATAATCTTATCTAAATAATAAGGTATCTTTTATTTTATGAAATCTTTAAAAATCTCTAAAATTTTATTGTATTATTTTTAAAACAGAATCTCTATCAATTTTAAATAATTCAGTAAATGAATTACTTATTGCTGATTCAATAGTATTTTATCCAGTAAAAAATTAAAATTCTCCAAAAGTATCTCCGGGTTTTAACATCTTTACAATTTTCTAACTCTTTTCTTCTACAATATTTACTTCTCCTTCAACAATGTAATATCTAGTTTTTTACAATAATTAATTACAAATATTTATCAGATCTATCATTTCGATGATATATAATATCTTTAGGAGTGACTTTCATTTAAATTAATTATTTAGATATAAATCCATTTGAAATATCAGAGAAGTTATTTTAAAAAATCTAGATTTTTTTTGATATTTTATTTCTTATATTTAAATTTAATTCATTTTATAAACTAATAGGTAATTCTTTTAATATAGTTGATGTTTCAATATTATTATCCTAAGCTTCTTTTTCTTTATTATATTTAAAATAATTTCTAACCCTATGTTATAGAGATTAATCTACAAATTGTTTTTCCATATAAGAATTTAGTAATATTAGATTCCTTCTTAATATATATGGATTTTATATACTTATATTTTGTTTTTTATTCATTTATACTTTTAACTGTCATTCCAATTTCATTAATCGAATAAGCAAACATGCAACTAGATAGTAACATAACAATAATTGAAAATATAATTTCAATTTAATTTTTAGGTGTAATATCACCATATCCTACTGTTGCAACAGTAGTTGTTGACCAATAAAATGAATAATTATATTTAACCCAAATATTTTAACTTATAATTTCCTCTTATTCTAGCCATGATCCATAAATATTTTGAGTAATATCTCCAATATAATGCCAAAAGCATGCAATAAAATGAACAAAATAAGCTAGTGTAACAAATAGAGATATTAAATCTAATAGATTCAAATTTATTCCTTTTAAGTATAATTATTCTAATTAAGATTCATATTTAGCATGTATGGATTTACAAATCATTATTATTAATAATATACCTATAATTTCTCTAGCAAAGGGTATTTAAAATAATTCCAAATATACTAAAATCCATAATAAACCTTAAATGATGACATTTAAAAAAGATTTATTTTAATAATTGATATTAGGATCAATTGATATCTAATCTTTTGTCTGAGACAATTAAATTAAATTTGTAATTAAAGTATCAACTAAAATTGAGATTATAAAGGAAATTTCAATTCCTTATAAAAAATGATCATAACGACCAAATGATATTATGAATGGACAATACCATAATTATAATAATTGAGAAAAAAATGAGTAAACCTCCCAAATTGTAAATAATAATTAAAATTTTTTTTAAAAGTTGTTAAACCATTTAAGACACTCTTCATAATTATTTTATAAAATTCTAATGTTTATATAATTAGATATAGCTTTACAAATACATAAAATAGATAAACCTTTCTATTTTTAAATTTATTGCTTGCAATCCTCTTTTCTTTTAAGTAAACAATCATCTTGAAATATTTATAATTATTTCTAACTATTTTTTAGTATATAAGCACTTGAAAATAAATTACTTTTGAATCTTTCAACATTTTATGATTTTTTCATTGTTTTCAATAGGTTTACTGACATATTAATTATTTTCTAATCTTTGGGCTTGCATTAAATATTTTCTAAATTAGGTAATTATAGTTATCTTGGTGAATTATAGCTTTTTTATTACACATTATTCTAGTTTTACTATAATATTTAAATCATTTAACCTATTTTTCTATTTTTTCAGGTTCCTCTGATAAACTAGATTCATTAGAAGATTATCTTTTAACATAGTTATCTATGTTATTTGATGCTAATTAATTAAATGGACCAATAATTGAATTGTTTAACAATCCATCATGAGTTCTATGGCTAGAAATCATAATTTTATAAATAATAAGATAATAATATAATACTTAATTTTTAATTATTTTTAAAACCATATATAATCACCTTTATTTTAAATTCAACTTAAACTCTATTATTTTATTAACTACATTTTAGTTAAATATATAAATTTAAGTTAATAAGGATATTTAAAGATAAAAGGTGAACATAATATTTTCTTCAGATTTTCATAATTTTAAATTATAACTTTATTAAAATCATATCTTTTATTGAGAAATATAATTAATTTAGAGCTGCCATTATTATTAAAAAGTAAGTTGAATTTAAATTCTTCAAAATTTTTTTAAGTTTTTATATATTAGTTTCTTGTCTATTTTTAGATTGAAAAATAATTAATAAAATTATTAAATTAAATGATTAGATATATGAATGAATCAGCCTTATATCTTTTTAGTTATATTTTATCAAATTTAAATAGTCACATATTTATAATTTATTTTAAAATAAAATCCTTTATAGCTGAATTTAGGTTATAAATCAATTAAAGTTAATACTCCCTGTATAATTTTACTATTTTTATCTTTCAAATTTCTCTTTTATTAATATCATATCTAATAAATCAATAAAAGAGTTTTATCTAATAGATCTTGAAGAAAATTACTTATTTATTATAATATTATAATTTAGAATATTTTGCAAGCTTTTATTCAATAAATATTGTAATCCATTTTAGTAAATTAATTCATTTTTAATTAATAATTGATTTTTTCTTTTGATTTTTTTTAATGTGATAGTTCGAATAATTACTCTTTAAAATCAAATTAATATAATTTAAATATTAATATTACATAAATGTTTATTTTCTGATTATAAAACATGTCAATTTATTAAATTATTGAAACTTAATGAAAAAAGAAATACGAATATATTTTATTAAGCTATGTAATTATTATATAAAATTTAAATCATGAAGAATTCTTCAAACCTCCGTATAAGGTCTTTAATTGATATAGTATCAATTTTTCAAGTAAACTCCAGAAACTCTACATAATTCTTGATGGAAATTGTTAATTAACCTATTTTTTAGAAAGCATTTTCTAGTTTTCACATTTTATTTTATCAGAATCCATATGTGCTCAATAAAATTAAGTTTAGGACGGTGTGAAATTATGGAAATCAGATAAAATGTGAGTTTATTTATTTTTTAGTTTTTCTGAGAGGTCATTTTATTATATATATCTTAAATTTATCAAAAATTTCAATTAATTCAACAAAGCTTTAAAAATCTACTGATTTATTTTAATTAATTGTACTTACATACTTTTCTAAACTAAAAATTATGTAGCATTAAAAGTGTTTGATAAAACCAGTTGAGACAAAGCTCTGATGAATGTGAAAGATTTTTGATTGAGTTTAATTTTTAATCTAATTTTATGGCATCTTAGATTGAATATAAAAATTATATTTTATTTACATTAAAAAAAGTGCATTAATTTTAGATTTACTTAAATTATTACAACAACAAAAATTAATTAGATTTATGTACCAGTTTTATGAAGTTAGTTGTTACTGCTCATTAGTAAATTAAATGGAGGTTAATTATTCAAATCATAAAAGTTTATTTTATTAGACAATTCTAATTTTCACTATTCATAGTCATAGAAGTTAATTAAAAGAAATAAGACTATTTTATATAAATACTATTATTTATTATTTAAATAGTAATATTATCTCAAAATACTCTTTAAATGCAATGAAAATAATTCAAAATAAAAAGTTTATTATGGGCAAATTACAATTTAAAAATTATATCTCTCTGATATATTTTATTTAATATAAACTTTATTTGAAAAGAATATTATTATTGAATTAAGGATTTGAAAGAATGTTTTAAAGAATTCATTCAATATTATTTATGGACAAAAAAAAGAATCTAGAAATATCTTTATATAAATTATTTTAATTTAAGTATTTCTATTATTCTATTTTAATAATAATATTAAACATTTTAAGTTTAATAATAGATAAATAATTAAATCATATTAAAATATTAGGATAATAAGAAAAAGTTAATCAGGAATCAAATTATTATAGTCTAATAAAATAATTAATATAAATTATTATTTATTTGTAAAATTAATAAAGATAATGGGATTATGTTTATCTAAAAAATAAGAATCTAAAAGAAATATTATAGTAAGATTAGAGGATCATGTCAAAAAAATTGATTAAAATAATGTTCACGATTAAGCTTTATTGATTTTATATAATAGTAGAAACTAAAGAGTATATCATTTAAATGAACCAATAATGAATGGATTTAGTAAATAGTTTCAAAAAACACAAGAGCCTTCTCAAAAAAGCTCTGTATGAAAATATTTTGAGATGGTGATTAAATGTGATTTTTTATTAATATTTTATGAATTGAAAATAGATAATATAATTTAGTAATAATTATAATAATATATAAGTATATCATCAATTTAGAAATGAAAAGGCTAATATAGAGTACTGACTTTAATGTGGCAATTCCTATAAGTAGCACAAAACATGCAATTAATGATGGTTTGTTAGTTTATATAATAATTGATAGATTACTATATGTTCCAAAAATATAAATGTTCATCACCAGCAATTTTAGGGGATGTCTTTCGTTGTAATACACCAATCTAATCCTAACTATCACCTATCGAAAATTAATAAAAAAGTTGCTTTTCACTTTTATCAGACAACTTTGATTTTTCTGTTAAAGATGTATCTCGAAAATATAATAATGTATCTCGATAATTAAGTACATAAAAAGAAAATGAAGAAGAAACAATTAAAATTTAGAGAATAATCAAACAGGAATAAATTATTCTTGAAGAATAAGAAATTTTAAATAAAAAATTACAAAAAATCAGATTTGATACAAATTAAAAATTAGAGGAACTTGATTAATGTAAATTATATTAATATATATTAGAATATCTTATAAGGAGATAAGAAATAATAAAATAATTATAATTCTCAATAGGTTAATATAATAGCAACTTTAGAGATAGTTAAATTAAAGAACCTCCATTAAAAAGTGCTCTAAAGAAAAAAGAAAATAAAAGATAACATACAGAAGATAAATATTAAAATCAATTTAATGATGAAGATTCCTAAGATGATTGGAACTTTATACATTTAGCTAAAATTAACCTTGAAAAATAAAGAACACACTAAAATACTGATGACGAACGAACTCCCTCTAAAGTTCGATTTGTTAGTAATAAAGATGCTAATTAATAAAAGAAAATGCGTAAAAGCATTAATATATCTGATTTAAATGTATTTTTAAAATTTAGGCATTGACATAATTAAAAATCTATTTTTTATACAAATTCAATATTTTTAAACTATTCTTCTGTGATAATGAAGGAGATTACTAGAAATTATTGTTTATTATTAACTTATTCTTAATTTTTATGCTTAAGAGTGATCATTAAAGGTTTTTCCTTTTTATCATTTTGACAAATCTGATGAACATTTATCTAAAATGATTGGAAATTCAAATCACTTTGATTTTATTCCACTTTATTCTGAATCATAATATTAGTCCACTTTTTTAATACTAAATTTCTCCAATTATTTCAAAAAAACTACTATATATAATCTGCCTGTAAATAGAAATATTCTAATTCATTCCCTTTTTGTTTTTATTTTTCAATATATAGTGATATAATTATTTTGAAATATTTATTGTATTTTTAAATAATTCTATTGAGTCCTTATTACAATAAGTCTATTAATTCTTTAAAATCTAAATTCATATAACTTTCTAAAACAACTATTTGTTACGAATTTGGATCGTTTATTAGATTTTTCTTATGAAAAACTATCCAAATATTAAAAGGATGTTGTCTTGGTATTGTTAATACTTTTATTAATATAGTATTTTAAATATTGTCAAAAATTTTGATCCATTTTTCGAATAAAAATTTTATACTTAAAAGTAAGTTTTTTCTTTTAAAATCTGAATTTCTGCATATCTTTGTTCTTAAAAAAAAACAGTAATAATATGAGTATAAAAATTTGTCTAGTTTCAAATACTATAAAAGCTTTCTTTCTCTTATTTTTGTTGAAACTCGCTTGTATTTTTAAATATAAATTTTATTTGATTTTCTTCTCAACCTTATAATTTTGCTTTATTGAATAATTGCAAGGAACCCTTTTCTTGATTTTGTATAGTAAAAGTGAATTAAAAAGGATTCGCCTAAAAAAATTAACTAACCAACATACTATCTAATTTATTATTGATAATCTTCATGTTAGAAATATGAAAGAACTTTCAGTAGTTTTGAACAAAATTTGAAGATTTTTAGCAAATTATAAACATCAAAAACTAAGGATGCTGAAGTCTTAAAAGAAATTGTAGAAATATTTTTTCTTAACAATTTTTTGCATATTCTTAATAATTTTGATTTTTAATTATATTCATATAATTAATAAATATTTCTAAAGATAATTGATTAAGAATTTATTTTTAAGAATTCATCATAATTTTAAATATTAATGATTATATACTTTTAACTACTAATGGCATTTACTCTAGGAATGATGCCATCACCTAAATAGATTGAAAGAGGTGATAAAACTGTGGAAATAACAAAAATATGTTCCATAAAATTTATAACTTTTGATGTATTTCCAGATCACATAATATAACTACTATTTCATTATCATTAATTAATAACATATGATGAGGATTGTGATTTTGAAGAATCCATTTAGAATGTAAATTTAAAAGTTGATGGAGCATTGAAATTTGAGATTAGTTTAGAAAGTAATGAACAATTATATTGGGTTTAAAATACAAAAGAAGAAGCTTATGAATTAGAAATAGATGAAAATTTAAATATAAAGATATAAGCATAAAATCATTGGGGTTTAGCAAGAGCTCTTGATACTGTAAATCAATTAGCCATAAATAATGAAATAGAGAATGTAATTTATATAAATATTATAATAGTTACCTATTGATATAAGTGATGAACCTTAATATATTCATAGAGGAGTAATGATAGACACAGCGAGAAATTTTTTACCTGTAAAATTAATAAAGAGAACTATTGATGCTTTAGTAATAAATAAATTGAATGTTTTACATTGGCATATTACAGATGATGAAAGTTTTCCACTTTTATTAAGTAATTATAGTTAAATAACAAATAATTCAAAATATTAGAAGGATGGATATTTTACAAAGGAAGATGTTTAAGATATTATATAATATGCTTCAATAAGAGCAGTATAAATAATTCCTGAAATAGACACACCAGCACATGTTCATTCTTGGGGTAGATCATCTGAATTATCAGAAATTATAATTACATGTGATACTAATATAAAATAATATGGATAATTAGATCCAACTTTAGAATTTACATATGAAGTCTTAAAGTCTGTAATGTAAGATTTGAATGATATGTTTGCTAAAGTATAATTTATTCATTTTGGTGGTGATGAAGCTAGTATTTAATGTTTTGAATAAAAACCATCCATTAAAGAATTTATGGATTAACATGGAATAGCTAACTATTTTGATCTTTAAGTTTATTATANAGTTTTGAACAAAATTTGAAGATTTTTAGCAAATTATAAACATCAAAAACTAAGGATGCTGAAGTCTTAAAAGAAATTGTAGAAATATTTTTTCTTAACAATTTTTTGCATATTCTTAATAATTTTGATTTTTAATTATATTCATATAATTAATAAATATTTCTAAAGATAATTGATTAAGAATTTATTTTTAAGAATTCATCATAATTTTAAATATTAATGATTATATACTTTTAACTACTAATGGCATTTACTCTAGGAATGATGCCATCACCTAAATAGATTGAAAGAGGTGATAAAACTGTGGAAATAACAAAAATATGTTCCATAAAATTTATAACTTTTGATGTATTTCCAGATCACATAATATAACTACTATTTCATTATCATTAATTAATAACATATGATGAGGATTGTGATTTTGAAGAATCCATTTAGAATGTAAATTTAAAAGTTGATGGAGCATTGAAATTTGAGATTAGTTTAGAAAGTAATGAACAATTATATTGGGTTTAAAATACAAAAGAAGAAGCTTATGAATTAGAAATAGATGAAAATTTAAATATAAAGATATAAGCATAAAATCATTGGGGTTTAGCAAGAGCTCTTGATACTGTAAATCAATTAGCCATAAATAATGAAATAGAGAATGTAATTTATATAAATATTATAATAGTTACCTATTGATATAAGTGATGAACCTTAATATATTCATAGAGGAGTAATGATAGACACAGCGAGAAATTTTTTACCTGTAAAATTAATAAAGAGAACTATTGATGCTTTAGTAATAAATAAATTGAATGTTTTACATTGGCATATTACAGATGATGAAAGTTTTCCACTTTTATTAAGTAATTATAGTTAAATAACAAATAATTCAAAATATTAGAAGGATGGATATTTTACAAAGGAAGATGTTTAAGATATTATATAATATGCTTCAATAAGAGCAGTATAAATAATTCCTGAAATAGACACACCAGCACATGTTCATTCTTGGGGTAGATCATCTGAATTATCAGAAATTATAATTACATGTGATACTAATATAAAATAATATGGATAATTAGATCCAACTTTAGAATTTACATATGAAGTCTTAAAGTCTGTAATGTAAGATTTGAATGATATGTTTGCTAAAGTATAATTTATTCATTTTGGTGGTGATGAAGCTAGTATTTAATGTTTTGAATAAAAACCATCCATTAAAGAATTTATGGATTAACATGGAATAGCTAACTATTTTGATCTTTAAGTTTATTATAGAAAAAGATAAAAAGATATTTGGATTAATTAAATTAAATCACAAAAGAAAATCATTTATTGGTATAATAAAAAAGATTAACTTCCTGCAGATTAAGATGATATTATATAATGGTGGGGTCTATCTTCTTAGCTTAATGAAGTAAAAAATAGGCCTAATTCATTTATATTAAGCGATTTTCACCCTTTATATCTTGATATTGGTGTTGGAAATGCTTTTGGGGATAGATATGATAAATATTAAGCATGGAAGGATGTCTATAAATGGAACCCAAAAATTCCACATAACTTTTAAGGAAATATTTTAGGAGGAGAAACCCTACTTTGGGGTGAAACTAACAATTAAAATACTCACTTTTAAAAATTATTTTTAAGATCATCAATTTTAAGCGATACGTAAATAAAATGAATATAAATAGTTTATGGAATCCAGAAATTAAAAAGTAAGAATAATTTTGGAAATTTACCTAAAGGTTAAGTGATATGGAAGATAGAATGAACAAGTATGGATTTCCTGTTTCTCCATTTACTCATAGTTATTGTAAAAGATAACTATAATAATGTTTTCCTTAACTTTACTCAACAAAATTAGAATTGCTTTTTATGTTCATTATAGTATATTTAATATGAAATAGAGTATAAATAAATTAATAAATCTATTATAAAATATAACATTAAAGGAAATAGAATATTTTTTATTAAAAACACAAATATATTAATTTAATTAGGTTAAAGTACTTTTGATGTTTAAAAATTTAGAAATTTGTTTAAATTTCCAATTCTTTATTTACTATTTCTGCTTGCTTCCAAAATATAAATCTAATCACTTTTTTTTACATGATTAGATGGATCATTCAAATCTAAATAGAAACATTATTTAGACTTAAAAAACTCTTAATAGTATTAAATTATTTAGGTTGTCTATCTAAAGATTCAACACTAACACAAAAGTCATTTATAAAATCATAGAGATATCTTTCAATTCTCTACTCTTAAAATATATTTTAAATGTAAATTAATTATATGTATTATAAAATCATTATTATATTAATTTTTTCTAAAACTCTCTTATGACTTAAATATATTAATATGATTATTCTTAAGTACCATGAAATTTCTCAGGAAATCCAGGGTATAACAATTTTGCATTTTCAAAAATTTCATCATTTGTTTTACCTTATGCAATCCTGTATAAAACGTGTGCATGAAATCCTCCTGGATAGAGATCTTACCAATTATGTAAATGTTTTCTAAAAATTTAAATCTCCATAGGTTTTAAATAGAATGGGCATTGTTTGGACATGCAACAATTTTTTGCTAGACCAATTTATTCATTAAAGATAATCTAATTGACATCCAATCCTTTTTTTTCACATTCCTAAATTAACTCTTATTTTGTCAATGGAGTAATAATTATGTGAGTATCAAAAAATTTTTTTAAGTATAGATTTTCCAATTAATCTCTTATAAAATCAAATTATTGATATTGCTATTCATTAAGAACCATTAAATTTCTGATTTAATCATCAGCTGTAAAATCTACTGGTTTAGTTAATATTTCTTGTTAATTATTATTAGTTAGAATATGATTTAAATAATATTTATACTAGTTAACGTCAAACTATTTTTTTAAAACTAATTAATATAGACCTTCAATGGATTTGAAATTGAATTTTTAGTCAGAATTATAAAGTATAGATTTATTTAGATTAATATTGACTTTTAATTTTGGGAGTTACTTCTATATGAGGATCTTCAAGTTTTATTAAAAAGAATTTCTAAAATCTTTTAAATATAAAGATTCTTAGAATTATGGTTCAAAGTTTATTTTTAATTCGAGTTCATCTTCTTAGCTTAATTAGGCCTTAAAGCAATCATTTTTGAAGTTAGGATTTCTTGATTAAAGTATAGATAAACTATAAAGTATTAAAAAAGCAATATATTTCTCAAAGTCTTATATTTATATCAATTCGCTTCTAATTGCATAAAATATATAGATCATAGCTTTTGGTAAAGCAATAAATTATTCATATTCTTAATCTTTCTCGAACAAAGCCTTAGTTGGATTATTAATTATTTTATTTAAGTAATCTTCAAATTATTTGGTTCCACCATAAACAATTTTAGTAGTGCTATAAATTAATTCTAAATGTTCAAATTTCCATTAACTATCTGGTTCTTATAAAATGTATAATAAAGAGTTAGCCAATAATGCCAAATATGATTCTTCATAAAGTGTGTCTACATTTTATTATACCATAAAGGTCATAAGTAATTTAATAATTCTTGATCTCAAAACTGGTTATAAATCTTAATCTGCTTCATTAAATAAAGGAAGAATACAATTTATTTCTTCCTATTGTATTCCTCCTACATTTAACTGAATCTAAAAATTATTCTTAATTAAGTAACCAGAGTCTATAATTTTATTTTATTTTGCAAACTATATAACGTTTACAAGCCATGGATTTACTTGAGATCCTTCATATCTTTTAACTTTTATACCTTGTCCAATTAAAGGGAAGGTTTCTGCAAAGTCATATTAAGATTTAATATATTTCATTGACTCTTCCATTTATGCAGTATTTATTAATATATCTCTTTAATTTTCAAGAGTAATAACTGATCTTTCTTATCCCTACTCATTTTATTTGTTAAATTATGAATTTTTAAGAATATTAATAAATTCCTATTTAATATTTTAAAATTCTTCTATAGTAATTCCTTTTAGAGCTAATGCCTTTTATAAATGTTTTCCTGTAATTGTACCAATCATTAATCTTTTTGCTTATTCAAATTCACTTAATTATTTTGGATCTACTCCTTTAATTAATGCTTCAATTTCATTGACAAAAAATAATATTTTTGTGCAATATTTATAAACAAAACTCACCTTAACTCTTAAATGGAATGGTTTATTTTAATTCAAGATTTCATTTTAAGAGATGTTTAAAATATCAAATCCAAATTTTGCATTAAGATGTCCAATAATTCTCTTCATAATTTCTAAACATTTTACACATTAATTAGTTAATTCTTACTTCTATTGAATGATTTTGATTTATAAATTTTAAACCCATGATCTGAAAATATCTATAACATTTTCAATCTCTAATTAATCTTCTTTTATGCTTTCTAATTAAATATTCAAATTATCACTAATTATTCGAAGGTCATTCTTATAACATATACACCATTAACCTTCAAAGACTTCTTTTGTAATTTATTCATCATAAGGATATAAATTGACATATTAATTTAATTAAAACACTCTAGCAGGATAGAAATATGATTTCATGGTTTCAAATTTGTTGAAAAAAGCCTACTCACTAGAATATTCAATTAAATATATGGCAGGTATTTGAGGATCTCCTCTATGATATAATTCTCTTAAATTCATTGATAAATTAGTGGGGAAACCTTTTTCAACTCCTAAACAAATGAAGTTGATTCGATGATTCAAAATATTACCTTTAAGTTAAGTTCTCATTCTAGTATCCAAGGTTTTAACTGAGTTATCTTATCCATCACTAATAAATATCACAGTAACTATATTATTGATAGGAACATTAGCTAATTGTTTTTCAAATTCAACAAAAGCAGGTACTATTTCAGTACCTCCTCCTCCATGTTTTCCAATATCAGTATATAATTCTTTATTATCTTTCAATACTGTTGGATAATTTGAAAATGTTATGGCAATCAAATTATCCTTAGGAATACTTTTATTCCAGAAATTAGCCAACCATCCCCAACAACTACTCATTGATCCTGAAGCATCAATTATTCCAATAATTGTTAAATCTCCTTTATTAACTGTATTTTTTTCATTCTTAGTTATTTCTTCTAAGAAAGGTACTTTGTATAGATTCATATTAGTCTAATCCATTTCAGTTTTAATGAATTTTCTGTAGAAAAAAATTGGGCTTTATAGTGAAAAATAATTCTTTCATAATTTATTATTTTTATATATTTTTATATTTATTATCATTATTATAATAATTATTATAATGCAGTGATGTCCATTTATAAATTCATTATTTTATCTTAAATAACTTCATCTAATAGGTTTTATACAATTTTATTTGATTGATTAGGTTTAGATTCTTCTTTTTATTAAATTAATTTGAGCTCTTTTAGCTTTTTTTATTTCTAGCTAATCATATCACTAATTTCTTAATTTGGTTCAAAGAATTCCTAATCTGAATAAGTTGAATAAAAGTTTGATTAAGCTTTATATGAATTCTATTTTATTTAATCATTTTCATTTCTAAGAAACTAATTTTCCATAATTAGTTAATTCACAATATTATCTAAACTTAAAATTTATTATGTCAATTATTGATTAGCTTAATAGGTATCTTTATTATCATTCATTAACCGAGCAATTTATGTATCTTAATATATACATTTTTCTTCAAAATCTTTCAATTATTATTTTAGTTATTCTTATTCATTCATATATAATTTAAAATTCTAACATTTTTATTATGTTTAAATTTTATTATATATTAACTTTGGATACTTATAAAAATAAAAATAAAAATCAATACAATAAAAGAAAATGAAAAATAAAGAATTATTCAAATGAACCATTATATATATATAATATCAAAATGTATAGTTCATTTTTCTGTTTTGAGTCTTCTTAAAATCTTCATATCATTATGTAAATTACTTTTTGATTATACTTGTCTAAGTTTATATAATTTTTATTCTTTTTTCTTTTGAAGGTTGACTTTAAGATTTAAATGATTAGTTCATTTAAACCTTATATCACTAGATTAATTTGATTAATAAAGGTTAATTTTTTTTATTTCGAAATGTAGAGATACTTAAATAAAATATTTTTCTTTGATGATTCATATACATCTTTTTATGAATTGAAAATGTGTATACATACTATTTTCAAATGATTTTTGCATATTATTGATTTTCTTAATCACAATTAAATAAATAGTATTCTTTTAATTTTTAATGATTTATTTCATTAAACAAATGAAATTTATATATATAATTATATAATCATAAATTTTAAGCATTAAATAAATAATAGCTATTAAACTTAATATTCATTTTCTTGTAATTGGTTTATTCATAATTCTTGTGACATCACTTCTGATATGTCTAAATTAACCAGGATCAGTGTATTTCGGATGTAATGTATAAACACCATCTAGATTATATAATATATTAGATATACCTGCTAAAGGCAAACTAGTTGCAATATCATATGGATGTACTTAACTAGCATTTTTTTTATAATTTTCCATACTGCTTTATCTTAAATTATTTTAGGCAGTTTTCAATCCTGCATCTCCACAATGAATCCATTATCTTTGTACTTGAGTATTTTCTTTTGGATCGATGGCTAAACTTAGATAAAGGATTCATACAATCTCTGTATTTTTCACCTGTTATAACAGAAGTCATTTTTAAACCTTAATCAAAAGGATCTCTCTCTCTACAACCAGATGCCTAAGGCTTCTTCTTTTTATCTGTCAGAATTTCTGCAACATTATTTTCAGGTTATTAAAAGGATTATTAGTATGTAGTAATAGCATAAAATTTATTATGTTATTCAGGATGATTTCTAAAGGTTGAACCAAAATCTGTATAATTTTAATGTACTGCTCGATCTACCAATATTTAATGCATATTTGTTTAGTCTAATTATTTAATTGATTTAGCTCCTGCAGTTTATGCAACTGTTGAATTACATTCTGGGAAATTGACTTTATCACCATTAGTTTTAATTAAAGATCTACAATCTCCTAATTACATATTCTGAATATTTTTAGCATCAAACTTTGTTTAAAATTCAGTTCTAAATTCTCTCTATTAAATAATTTATATAATAATACATATCCATCATCTGGTACTATAATCTCTTTAGTAATATATGGTGGATTACGATTCACTCTTGGTAAAGGAAGTAAACATCCATTATCACCTGGAATCGAAATGCCTTCTTCAACTCCTCGTAACTAAAAATATATTATAATCTATTACTGATTTTGTAGCATTAGGATCTCTCTATAATTATTATGGGGCCAATCTGTCTTCATACCAATTAGCTAAATTATCTTTACATAATACCCATTAAAGCAGTTTTACTAAATTCAACTTCATTTGGCCTTCTCATTGATATTATTAATATATTTATATATAAAAAATATAATTAGAACTTCAAATTCAAACATTATCAATCATATATTATCATAAGTGGATTTTAGATATGAATCTACTACTTTATTTGATTTTCTTTTGTGATTTTTGATAATATTATTATTAGATACTTTTTCAATTATCTTAGATTATAGTTTTATATTCAACACTACTTAAATTCATATCAAATTAGTGAAAGAATTATTTTGTAAAATCTAATTATTTTCTTGACTTTTCTAACAGGTATATTTTAATTAAAGAAGGCTATGGTTTAATGATTAGATTATGCTTATTTTTTAATTGGAGAAAAGTCTCATGTTGTAATTTTATTAGTATTTGAATTATATGAAATTTATTAATAAATATAATAAAAATGGCTGACAATATTGAGAAGAATGAATCTATTCAAAGCTATATGAATTATTCAGAACAAAGACTTATGAATGAAGACTCTTTTCTAAAGTAGAAATAAACATAAGAGGAAGATCCTTAAGCATTTGAATAATCTGAAACTCAGTAAGTTATCATTTATGATTAAGTTCATAAAACAAATAGATTGATCCAATGTTGCAATAAAATGATGAAGAATAAGAATAAGAAATTTAACCCATTGAATTGAATCCACTATAAATATTCGAATCTAAGAAAATGGAAATCATATAAAATTGCTAAAAAAACAAAAATCTATACACTGATCCAGATTTCCCAATCAATAATAGTAGTCTATATAAGGATCCTTAAAAACCTCCAGAATTTGCAAAGGATATTAAATCTGTTAAATGGGTGAGACCACATGAAATTTCTAAAGATGCTAAATTTGTTATTGATTTTGAAGGAGACTATAAATAAGGAGCTTTTGGAGAATCCTGGTTTGTAGGAGCAGTTGTAATAGTAGGATAAATGAAAAAATACAATGAGAAATAAAATAAATAAACTTAATAGTTATCTTAACAATAAATATCTTAACTTGAAAAATTAATTTTAGATTATGATTAATTTGATGATTGTGGTTTTGTAGCATTTCAATTCTTTAAAAATGGAGAATGGAAATAAGTTATTGTTGATACACTTTTACCTTTTGATTAAGATAGTAAATAAATATTATTTACTTAATGTGCAAATCCATCAGAATTTTGGTTACCATTAATGGAAAAAGCATATTGTAAATTACATGGAAATTATGAAACTATATGTGATGGACATATTGGAGAAGGATTGGTTGATTTAACANAGTGCCAACTTGGTCATTCTTTGTTAGTTTAATTTTGTTAACTTTATTTTTGTTATAGGTTTGTTTAGATTCTATGTTATATAACCTTTTAGTTTTGAAGCATGATTCTGTTTAGAATGAATACGATAATACAACAGGGCCTACTGCAAATGATGAGTATGAAACATCTATTTTACTTAAGATAAACTTTACATGATTTGAAAGAAGAATTAATAGCCATTTGGTTCTTATACATACTGCTACCTTTTAGATTAGGATTATGGATGATAGATTTAATCATTCGTTATACAGGTCTAAGATATTTTAGAAAAGAATATACAACTTTTGCAATGTTTTTTGATTTTCTATTGGGATTGTTAACTATAATTATAGTTGGTTTTTCAACAAGATTAGATTATAGTTTGAGATCTGATACTGCTTAAACTCAAGTCGAATTAGTATTTTGATAAATTATTTGCAAGATCATCAGAAATTTAATTATTTTCTTGACATTTTTGGCAGGCATGATTTAATCAAAGAAGGCTATGGATTTAACTAAGAGATTATGTTTATTATTTAATTAGAGAAAAGTCTCATGTTGTAATTTTATTAGTTTTTGAATTATATAAAATATATTAATAAATAAAAATAAAAATGACTGACAATATTGAAAAGAATGAATCTATTCAAAGCTATATGAATTATTCAGAACAAAGATTAATGAATGAAGACTCTTTTTTAAAATAGAAATAAACATAAGAGGAAGATCCTTAAGCATTTGAATAATCTGAAACTCAGTAAGTTATCATTTATGATTAAGGTCATAAAATAAATAGATTGATCCAATGTTATAACAAAATGATGAAGAATAAGAATAAGAGATTTAACCTATTGAATTGAATCCATTATAAATATTTGAATCTAAGAAAATGGAAATTATATAAAATTGTTAAAAAAACAAAACTCTATACACAGATCCAGATTTTCCAATTAATAATAGTAGTCTATATAAGGATCCTTAAAAACCTCCAGAATTTGCAAAAGATATAAAATCTGTTAAATGGGTGAGACCACATGAAATTTCTAAAGATGCTAAATTCGTTATTGATTTTGAAGGAGATTATAAATAAGGAGCTTTTGGAGAATCCTGGTTTGTAGGAGCAGTTGTCATAGTAGGATAAATGAAAAAATACAATGAGAAATAAAATAAATAAACTTAATAGTTATCTTAACAATAAATATCTTAACTTGAAAAATTAATTTTAGATTATGATTAATTTGATGATTGTGGTTTTGTAGCATTTCAATTCTTTAAAAATGGAGAATGGAAATAAGTTATTGTTGATACACTTTTACCTTTTGATTAAGATAGTAAATAAATATTATTTACTTAATGTGCAAATCCATCTGAATTTTGGTTACCATTAATGGAAAAAGCATATTGTAAATTACATGGAAATTATGAAACTATATGTGATGGACATATTGGAGAAGGATTGGTTGATTTAACAGGAGGTATAGCTGAAATTAATTCATTAAGAGATCCATAATTAAGTAAAATGATAGAAAATGATTAATTATGGTAAGTATTATTGTAAACACATAAATTATAATTTTTTATGGGATGTATGAATCATAATGAAACTAAAGGAACAAAAAATGCTGATACAGGTACTCATGGAATATTAGAAAATCATCATTATGGTATTGTAGATGTAAGAGAATTTCCAAAAGAAAAATTAAGATTAATGAGAATAAGAAATGTTTGGGGACCAGAAGGTGGATGGAATGGAGCATTTTCTGATGATTCTGAAGAATGGGATAAACATAGAAATTTACGAGAAGAATTAAAATTAGTATTTAAATCAAAAAAAAGTGATGGAACATGGTGGATGTCATATTAAGATTGGCATTAACATTTTAATAAATTTTATATTTGTAAAGTATTCCCAGAAAGTTGGTAATAATATGCAATCCAAGGAAATTGGTTTGGAAAAACATTAGGAGGAGTATGTCCTTTAAAAATGCCATCTGAAGGCTTACCAGATTATGTATAAGTAGATACTGATGAAAAATGGTTTAATAATCCTTAATATAAAATTAAAGTACATAAAGAGACTAAATTATATTTATCATTAATGTTAGAAGATGAAAAAATAACATAATAACCNTGTTAAAAAAACAAAACTCTATACACAGATCCAGATTTTCCAATTAATAATAGTAGTCTATATAAGGATCCTTAAAAACCTCCAGAATTTGCAAAAGATATAAAATCTGTTAAATGGGTGAGACCACATGAAATTTCTAAAGATGCTAAATTCGTTATTGATTTTGAAGGAGATTATAAATAAGGAGCTTTTGGAGAATCCTGGTTTGTAGGAGCAGTTGTCATAGTAGGATAAATGAAAAAATACAATGAGAAATAAAATAAATAAACTTAATAGTTATCTTAACAATAAATATCTTAACTTGAAAAATTAATTTTAGATTATGATTAATTTGATGATTGTGGTTTTGTAGCATTTCAATTCTTTAAAAATGGAGAATGGAAATAAGTTATTGTTGATACACTTTTACCTTTTGATTAAGATAGTAAATAAATATTATTTACTTAATGTGCAAATCCATCTGAATTTTGGTTACCATTAATGGAAAAAGCATATTGTAAATTACATGGAAATTATGAAACTATATGTGATGGACATATTGGAGAAGGATTGGTTGATTTAACAGGAGGTATAGCTGAAATTAATTCATTAAGAGATCCATAATTAAGTAAAATGATAGAAAATGATTAATTATGGTAAGTATTATTGTAAACACATAAATTATAATTTTTTATGGGATGTATGAATCATAATGAAACTAAAGGAACAAAAAATGCTGATACAGGTACTCATGGAATATTAGAAAATCATCATTATGGTATTGTAGATGTAAGAGAATTTCCAAAAGAAAAATTAAGATTAATGAGAATAAGAAATGTTTGGGGACCAGAAGGTGGATGGAATGGAGCATTTTCTGATGATTCTGAAGAATGGGATAAACATAGAAATTTACGAGAAGAATTAAAATTAGTATTTAAATCAAAAAAAAGTGATGGAACATGGTGGATGTCATATTAAGATTGGCATTAACATTTTAATAAATTTTATATTTGTAAAGTATTCCCAGAAAGTTGGTAATAATATGCAATCCAAGGAAATTGGTTTGGAAAAACATTAGGAGGAGTATGTCCTTTAAAAATGCCATCTGAAGGCTTACCAGATTATGTATAAGTAGATACTGATGAAAAATGGTTTAATAATCCTTAATATAAAATTAAAGTACATAAAGAGACTAAATTATATTTATCATTAATGTTAGAAGATGAAAAAATAACATAATAACCGTATGTAGCTTGTAATTTAATGGTCATAGCTAATAAAGCAAGATTGAGTAGAATTTGGGAAAGACCACCAAATTAAGATATAGTTATTGATATGAATCCTAAAGGAGATATATAAGCTTAAAGAGAAATTACTTAATATTTGATTCTCAAAAACTTTGAAGGTAAAACCTTTGGTAATTATATGGTTGTTCCTAATATGATTGTAAATGAAACAAGAAAAGAAGAGAAAAGAAATTTCATCTTAAGAATATTTAGTTCTGATAAAATTGATGTAGCTGAAATGTCAGAAACATTAGAAATACAATAAGAAGGTAGTTGGAATGAAACTTCTGCTGGTGGTAAAAGGAAATATGATAATGGTAAAGAAAATCCTAATTGGTGTAAAAATCCTCAATATTTCTTGAATTTATCTGTTAGCACTCATTTAAAGATTATATTAAGAAGACAAGGATAAGTTAAAAGAGCTAAAGGTACTAAGATTGGAATGACAATTTGTAGATTTGATAAGGCCCCTTCAAATTCATTAAATATCATCAAATAATAAAAAGGAGGAGGAACAAGTAATTTCATTTTATTTATTCTTATTAGATTTAGTAAGGCTTTTAAAGTAGACTTAATAACAATTAGAAGCTCCAAAAATGGTTGGAATTCAAAGAAAACTTTTAATTGGATCTAATGAAAAATTTAAATAATCTACATACTTTAATGAAGATGTGGCAGCCTTATATTTCCATTTTAATCCAACAGAAGGTCCTTTCATTATAATTCCATCATTAGATTAAGAAGATCGTTCTGCCAATTATAAATTAACTAGTAATTATATTATTTAAACTTTCTAGTTTACTCTAATTAAGAAGTAGAATTAACAAGATTGGATGAAACCAAGAATTAGGTTCATATAGGAAAATGGGAATAAGATATATCTGATGGAGGTTGTCATTTGTATGAAGATCCTTATGAAAAAGATACTAGTAAAAGAACATGGACAATGAATCCTAAATATTCTTTATAGTTTTTTGAGCCTATTCATATAACAATTACTCTTTGTATAGCAGAAAAGAATTGGAAGTCAAAAACAAAGAATACTGTTGGAGGTATGATTGGAGTTTATTTAATTGAAAAATCAGAGAATAAAATTACTACCTAATAGATTGTGAGAGTTCCTAATTTCTTACCAATTAATGAAATTCAAGAAGAATTTGATCTCTAACCAACTAAGAATGGTTATTATATTATGCCAACAACTTATCAATCTAAAATACATGGATAATTTATTTTAGCAGTTTAAGGAGACAAAGAATTTACATTACAAGCATTAAAGTGAAATATATCAAATAAATTTTATCAAAGATTTATTTTTTTATAAGTATTTTTAACAATAAATTATTATCCATTTTTGATTACTTATTATTTAAGTCAAATATTATTATGTAACATATAAAAAATATAAAATATTATATGTAAAATACCAATTCTTCATATACCAAAAATGATATTGGTTTTATATGCTAATATTTTTATATATCTTATGAATTTAAGACAATTAAATGAATTTTGATCGTATTAATAAAGCATAACATATTAAATTATATATAAAAGGGATTAATAATATATATGAGTAATGAAGCAGTGGCAGGATTTATAGTTACAAAAACTATATAATAGAATCCTTTGAGATATTATGATGCTAATTTTAATGATTATAGAGATAAAAACATGATTATGTATATTTAGAAAAAATATGCAGATCTAAAAAGTAAAGTTTTAATTTCCTGTAGAACGAACTGGAGTTAAAATTTTACCAAAACAAACTTTTGCTAATACTTAATTATAAGTGAAATTAAAAGCTTAAGAAGGCAATAAGGATTATCAAACAAATTATGAATTATAACCTGAAGTTGTAGAAATTATGTAAAGAGTTCTTGATAAAGAATAATTAGAAAATTTATTAAATTTTTAGGTGGTTCCTAAAAGATCAAAAAATTGGAAGAAAAAACCTATATCTGTTTAATAAAAATTAGCTATGATGATGAATGATAAAATAGAATAAGCTTAATTAGATGATCTTTATAAATGTTATAAACGATAAAATCTAAAACAAAATGTATTTATTTAAATGAAATTTAGCTTAAAGAAGTAAAGACATCAATGAAAAACACAAAAGATACAAATAAAAGTATTGGAAAACATAAAGGATATTAGAATATTGAATTAGAAGATTAAGAATAAGTTAATTTTTTTATGAAAAAACTTTGTGAAGATTAAAATATGAATGCTTGCACAGTTTTAGATATTTAAAATAGTAAATTTGAAGTTTAATTGTAATTTTAGATGAATTAACATTTAAAGAAGATTAATGGGATGAAATGGAAAGATGGAGAAATATAGTATAAAAAAGAATTACATAAGAATAATTATTAGAAATAATGCGTGAAGAAGAATTAAAACAAAATAAATAACTAGTCAAAATTTTCAAAGAAACTAGGATAGATTAATTTGATCCAGATTTTTTTAAAAGTAAAGTTAAAATGACAACAATGAAAAGAGTTAATTAAGCATAAGATTCATAATATCATAAGTTTTTTGTTTCTACTGAAAATTAAGCTAATGGTTTAACTCCAGAAGATTTTAGAAGAAAAAATCAATAATATTAAACTACAAAAAGCCATTTTATGGAGAATTTAAGTAAAGTTTCAAGAACTACAAGACCATAGACTAGTGTTAGTAGAACACTAAAAACTTAGACAAGTGTAAAAACAGAAATAGAATTTAATAAATTCTTAAAGTAATGTGATGTGGTTGAGAATAATTTTAAAAAAGAAAAACATTTATTAAAATAAAAGTTTAGTTCTCTTGATAATATAATGGAAAAAGCTAGTCAATATTTATCAATGGATAAACCTTAATTTGAGAGAGAACCTAATTAAGATTTTGAGAAGTTTAAAAGACAAAGATTATTTAAAAAGAAATTTGTGACTTATTTAATTGACAAAGTAGAAAAACAATCTGATTTATTGAGTGAAAAAATAAAATAATCTACATCAAAGTAGTTTATTGAAAGAATTCTATCAGAAGAATAATGATGTATGTAAATATAAACAATTTTTTATTAATATTCAAATTAATCAGAAATTAAGCTTGATATGTTTCTATAATAGATTAATATCTTCTTTAAGCAAATTTTTAAAACAGAATTTTAAATAATCTGGATCATTCTTAATTAAATTTTAGAAAAATTCTTTAAGGGTATCCTAAAAATAAATTTATTATAATAAATACCACTAAATTAATATTTAAACATGGATCTTTAAGATAAGTTAAATCTTCTTCAGTAGTTTCATCACATTCTTCCCCTACTTCTTAATTAAAATCTAAGAATTCACTCATATACAATGTTGACCCAGTTTCAAGATCTGCTAATCCTTTATCCTTCTTTTCTTTAGGATCCAATGACTTTGAATATTAAATATATAATACAGCAAATCTTTCTGCTATATCTTATTCTTCATCATCTTTAATTTTTTCAATTTCAACATCAACTTAATCTTAAAATTAATCCTTTTTTATCATTTCATCATCATCATCTTCAACTTCTAATCTTTCATCTTCTTATTTAATATCATTATTATTTTAAGTTTAAGGTGTAATTTCATTATCTAAACATCTAATTAATAATGATAATATTTTGAATGGAGCATAAACATCTAAATAAATAAATTAATTAAATTATTATATACCACTATTAATATTTTGATGACTTGGATTATAACCTATAACTAATAGATTTTCTAAGGTTTTATCTTTTAATAAGAACAATTTCATTAGAGCAGAGAATGTAGCATTTTTTGTTCCTTTTCCTCTAAATAAAGGTTATTACAATAACCATTTATCTATAAGTACTTTTAAAGCCATTCTGTTATCTATACTCCATGATGTTAAGAAATTAATTGATTCTTTTGGTTTTTCAATAATCATTCTGGCATAGACCAAAACTAAAGATTAAACAGTAGATGGCATTCTAGATCTATATATTTTGAAAACAACAGATTTTAATAAATTAATGTCTGGATTTCCATCTAATAAATTATTAATTGTAATCATCACTAAATTTCCAGCAAATAATGATGCTGATTCATTAGCAGAATTCTAAGGTACTTCCAATAATTTAAGATTTACCTTCATTACATCTTAAACAAGATTCCTTAAATTAAATTATATAATTACATTTTAAGTATTTATCCAGTTTCTATAATGATAAAGTTTTTTAAACATTAACTTGTGTGAACTTATAATTAAGGATCCTCATTAATTAAAATTAGATTAACCATAGAAGGTAATAAATTAATGAATGCTTCTTAAGCTTTATTATCTGAACAATATTTAATAAAAATGGATGTAAGATGCATTATTGCACTCATTAATCCAATATCTGTTGATTTCATTTTACTTTTATCTTAAATTTTATTCATATCTTCATAAAACACTTAAAAGCAATCCATAATAAATGGACAGAAAACCTATTAAGATAATAATATTATATACATCAAAAATATGTGGATAAGCATCTTTACATTGACAAATCCTCATAATTAATTCATTAAATTATTTAATAACAATTGATTCAGAATGGAATATACTAAAGAAAGATAATAATATCTTTGATCCATTTTTAGCTAAAGTAGTAGCTAAAATAGATGAAAATCTAACTAAATTAATAGTTGATTCTAATATATAAATAATTTAATCTTGACTAGCTTCTTGTAATACTTATAATATTAAATCCATTATTTCAGCCTTATATTGAAATGGAATGCTATACTTATTAATTTTTGTGGCATAACTAAAATTAAGTAAAATATTTACTTTCCTAATGCTTTTACTGATACTATTTTTAATGTAATTGGATATTAAGATTTTATGTAATTAAGTACTGATTCAAAAAAAGGTACTAATAATTCTTTAAATTAATGACTAATCAATTCAGAGTATTTTGTTGTACTCCAAATAGCTCTAGCTTATAAACTATTTGAATCTATAATAATATAAATAATATTTAATACTTTATCTTTCCAATTCAATTAATATATTCTACATACATTTTTTAATATCAAAGGTACTCTCATGTTTTTATTGAAAAACAATAATATCTTCTGAGAAACTACCTAATAATAAATATCCAGTTTCTTTTCGTTTTTGAATAAAAGATTTTAAATAGAATGAATTACTTACATAAATAGCAGAAGTCTTCATAAATTACATTACACTATCTTAATCAAATTCTTTAGATTATTATCCTTTCAATTCTTAGAAATTCAATTTAGAAATTATTTATTAAGCTTACTCAATAAATTCTTTTTCATCACGATTCAATATTAATTTCTCACCTACCATCAATATTTACTAAACAAATGTGTCTCCATATTTCTCAATTATATCATTAATCAATCTCAAAGCAAGTGTTCTAACACTTTTTTATAACAATTCCTCTTCATCATTAAGAATGAAATAACTAGGATCTTTAACCCATTATCTTTCTTAATCTTTAGTAGCAATTAGAAATGTTGCCAATGTATTCAATAATGGGAATGTACCAAATTTAATTAGATTATATAAAGCAGGTTTAGTAACTAAAATAGTAATCAATTCAATTGAATAAGCACAAAGTCCTTCAATATGATTATCATAATCATCATCTTCATTTAAATATTTATATTCAATATCTAAATTCTATATTTTATAAATACCATTTTACAAATTTATAATTCTTTAATTAGTATAAGGTAATTCTTTAGATTCTTCTTAAAATAAATTATCAATATGTTCAATATCAATTTAGTATACTATGTGACCAACATATAATTAGGTTATTGAATTAAAAAATTTCCAGACTGGAATTAATGATAATGACAATGATTTTCTACTATATACTCCAAAGTCTCTGAACACAACAATCAATATCTTTAACACTAATTTCTTGATGAATATATGTGATTTTGGAGATGTTTATAATGCAGATAAAAATAAAGACTAAATAATGCATATAAGATCTTACCATCCATATTTAAAATGTTGAATCTAGACATTTATTTACAAAAGAGTTATCAGTTCCATCTGCAAAAGAAATTGATCTGAACACTAAATAAACTAATAAGAGGATTTTCTCTCTTAGTTTCTCATTCAATTCTGGCTAAGCAAATATACTGAATCCTTTCTCAAGTACTGATGGCACAATCTCTTTACATAAGGCTTACTATTCACCATTAGTTTCACTAAGTCTTCCAAATAATTGTAAAAATAGTTCTAGACTTGATTCTATGGCATTAAAATCATCCATCCAATTTAACAATTCAATTAATGGATTTGGCCAAATATGACTTGGGTCAAGGCAAATTATTTATACTATAATGGATGCCTAACATATATATTTTAATTAAATTACAATTAACTCAATAATAGGCATATTTGAAACATTCATAACCAACCCATTCAATAAGAGTTCGCGTATTACTTTTCGTGATGGCTATATTGATTCCCATTATTCAATCAAAACCCCCTTCAATAATATACCAATTTTCAATCTTATTTCAACTGGATATTCAGGAGACACCATCATTTTAGTACTCTCAACCATAAAATTGGGATAAGGAGTATGAAGGATTTCATATGCATTTTATAGATTTTCTAATGCTTATACATACACTTAAAGAGTTATTTCTGGTGTAGCTTCCGCCATTTTAAATTTTATATATAATATATATATATATAATTTATTTCTTGATCTAACAATTCCTAATATATGCTTTTTAGTTTCTGTATGTTTATGCAACTCTCCTGAAAACTTTTTATTAAAGGCCTTCTTTTTTCTAATAATAATTAATTATGACAATAGATTTCTTAAACTTTGAGAATTTAATAATATTCTCAAAAAATATCATTTTAATGTAAGATAATAGTACATTCGGAATCATTTAAGAATCAAATTGGAATTCTGTGTGTTTTGCCCTGAAATGTCAGATAGGCTACTTCATTTATATGTTTGCAGCCACAAAGATATTACCAGGAACACAATTCAAAGGATTTCCTGATCCAAAAGGAAAAGTGTTAATGTATAAGATAAATGGATTAAATACATACATATTAACACTCGCACTAATAATATTGGGTAAAGTATTTTTAAATTTTACATTAATACCATTGATAGAACATTTTTGGTCATTTTTTATAGCCTCAAATATTTTGGCTTTTGTGTTTTCTTTTATTTTATTAATAAAAGGAAAATTGAGTCTACATTATAAGCCACATATTCAAACATGGACACCTTAATTATTAAATGATTGGTGGTTTGGATCAGAATAAAATCCTAGAATTATGAATGTAGACTTAAAAATGTATTTTTATGAACCATCATTGATCGGATTACAAATATTCTTATTATCATTTGCAGAATATTAATACAATACTTATTCGACATTATCAATAAACATGATTCTATTTCAACTTTTTTGGTTTATGTGGCTTATTACACATTATATAAGAGAAGATTTTATGTTATCAACTTGGGATATTATAGCAGAAAACTTTGGGTTTATGTTGGTTTGGGGAGATATTGTTTATTTACCTTATCTCTATTGTATTGGAGGATGGTATTTAGGTGATTTTGTATAGAATAGTCCAACAATTTATTTGATATTCATAACTTTGTTACATGTGATTTCGTTATATATGTATAGAGATTCTAATTGGTAAAAGGATAGATATAGAAGATTAGGAGATAAAGCAATAATTTGGAATAAAAAACCTTAGACATTATAAAATAAATTATTAATTAGTGGATGGTGGGGTATAGGGAGACATTTAAATTACACAGGAGAAATTTTAGTTTATCTTTCTATTGCAATGTGTGGAGAATTCAAAGCTTTTAATAATTATATATTGCCTTTAAGTTTATTTTGTTTACTGACTCACAGGGCTACAAGAGATGATAAACGTTGCAGAGAAAAATATGGTAAATTATGGCAAGAGTATTGTTAAATAGCCAAATTTAAGATAATTCCATTCATATTTTGAATGATCATTATTAATTATTATTAAATATATAATATTTATTATCAATTTTATTAAATTATTTTTTTATTTATCCTATTGTAGTATCATTTTTAGTTTTTTTTAAACTATTTTTATATACTTAATTCTTTAAATTTAACACAGAAGGTCTTTACCAAATTTCTGATAATTATTTTGTCATCTCACAATTTGTAATTAATTTCAATGCTCTTATAATCAATTAAGGTTCTGATATCTATTCTTTATTAGGGATAATTGTAATATTTTCCCCATCTTAAATCTTTATTTTTTTAATAAGTAATTTACTCTCTACTTAATCAGTTATTTCCACTTTATTCAATTACATTTATGTAGTTAAATATTCCTATAATCTATAATTCTTATTAATTTAAAGACTGAATTTCTGAGATTTATTCTTAATTCCTAAGTATGTGATTAAGTCTGGTAAAGGTACTTCATTATCAATTAAAGTAATTAATCCAGATAGTATAAATACTTTCAAACCTTCTTTATCTAATTTTTTAGATTCTATCATTTATTATTTTTATATAGTAGATATTTATTTTTTAGAAATATTTACTTAATTTTCATTAATCATAAGATTATCATTTTTACTTTAACAGATGTATAATTATAGATTTTCTATTATTCTTATAATATTTTCTAATATAGGTTCATCATTTATTTAAGTCTTGTTAGTTCTTAATTTAGGAAGTAATACTAATCTATCTTTAAATTATTCTTTAGCTTTTTCAATTTTTAATTAATCTTACATTACTTAAGTTAATTGATCTTTAATACTATCTTTTTTATTATGAATGATAATTAATATTTTTTCAATTAGAACTACATCTCTACAATATTTATTGTCAAATTTAAATTATTATAAAAAATTTTCAAAATCTTCTAACTCTTATGTAGACGTATCAGGTAGCTCTAAAAAGGATTATAATTAAACTTATTCTAGTTTAAGTTTCAACCGATTTTCTTATTATAGATAGGGTATCAATCTTAATTTTGAAGGTAATATTTAAACAGAATTTTAAATAATTATTTAACCTTCTACTATTTTTTCCTTATGTTTCTTAAACCATAAACAAGTCAAAATTTGTGGGATAGGTATTTCTTATTATATGGATTCAATTAATATTAATTTTAAAATTAATTTAAGCAACCTATAATATTTTTTTTAGCATTTTATAGTTTTGCTTTCATCATCGATTTCACTCAAACTATTTGATTATGTTTAATTCTTCTATTCAATTTCATTTTTTATTTCTCTCTATTTAGTTTCATCATAGATAAGAAGTATTGTCTCCAATTTTTCAATAAATTGTTTAACTATTTTAAAATGAGCATCAACTTCTTAAATCCTCGATAATCTTTTTATTTAATTTTTTAACTAAGGATATTTTATCAATTAAATTATTTTAGATTTAAGAGATTCCTATTATTGAACTACCAAATCTATCATTCTTATTAATAGTAGATATTCAATTATTTTAGCATTTTATTTTTTAACTTTGATTTGTTAATTTATTTTTTATTCATCTGTATTTTCTTCTTTTATGTTTTTAGTTTCTGTTTAATTTTGTTATGCGTCATAAAATGAGTGATAATAAAATGCACATATATTCAACATTTATTAATTAGGATTAAAAGTTAAGTTCATTCCATTTCCTCTATTTTTTAATTCAGCACAAAGTATGATCTCAGGAATTGCAATATTCTCTTAGATTAACCAATTTACAATCATCTTAATCTTCTCTTTATTTAAAGAACTTATAACCTATGGCTAAACTTAAGGAGTTATATCAAAACATTCTGATTAAGTTTTATAACCTGATAAATGTTATGCAGTATCTGAACATTCTAATTTAGTAGATTTATTTTCTATAGGATTATTATTTAAATAATTAGATTACAATATTTAAATTGATTCAAAGAGTTTATATTTGATTTCATTTTCAGGTATTTCAGAATTTTTATAATCTAATTTTTATGGAAATTAAAACTGCTTATCTAAAAATATTGATTATAGTTCTTAATTAACTTAAGGCATATTTCTTTATTCTTACAATAATTCTACTTATTTTTAAAATATTTCTTAAGCTTAATTTATATGAGATTTAAATGTTTCTTTTATTAAATGCTAATAGTAGTCTGAAAAATATTCATGATCATTCTAATTATGATTAATAAGATCCTCTATTTATAATTAATCAGCAATTTCTTTCAGAGCTGGATTAACTGCTAACTGTTCTACTAAAATATAGTTAGGTTGAAAGAGAAATGAGATTGGTTCATCATTATTAAAATTTAAGGTAATATAATGAAGAGTATTTGGGCATGTTATAAGATTTAGGTTGGTATATTTAAGTAAAATACACCCCACTTCTTGATATACAATATCAAATATTGATGGTTCTTCATCTTATTTAAAAACTTCATCATCATCAAGATATATTTCATCTTTATATCCCTCCCCTTATTAATACATTATATATTTAAATTATATCCAAAAATTTTTCATCCTAATTTACAAATAAATAACAGGAAATTCTAAATATCTTTGTTTTTAGAATTTAATTCTAATCTAAATATCTTTCTTTTTGAAATAAAATAAAATCTAATCATTTTTTCATTCATAATTTATTAAAAATAGTATAAATGTCCTTCCTAAGCATACTTTTTAATTAAATTAGATTTAAAATTTTTACTAAAGAATTACTTGGATAATCAAAATTCTATTAGAGCTATCTTCAATTTCCTAGATTTTGATTTCCCTAACATAATTGAAATTATGATTCACAACTTTAAAAAATTAACTAATTAAATTTTTTTGATTCACTTAGTATTTCCATGTTAATTAAATTATAAACATAAATAAATTTATTTTCTCATTATTCTTTCCTAAGTATTTAAGTAGTATATGGATACCAATAAATCTTACTTAATATATTTGAATAAATTTATTATAAAGTATAGAATTATTAAAAATATTTAAACATTTAGATTCTCATTTAACTTAGAATATTATTAGAATTTATTTTTTTATAAAAAAACAAATCAATGTTAAATTTCATATATGAATGAATGAATTAATTCTTATTTATAAAAATTAATATTAAATATGAATCTAGACTACACTAAAATATAAGACAATGTTAATAAATATCGTTATGGAGTGAAAATAGGTAACTATAATGAGGAAACTTTTGGAATGGATATGAAATAAGTAGATTCAATTATAATATTTATTATTAGGATGTACATAAAATACCCAACAGTACAATGAAAGATACTTTTGGTCTATAAAATACTTTACTTAATATGCCTAGATAATAAGAAACAGAAGCAGAGAAAGAATATTATAAATAAACAACTTTCAGTCATGGTGGGTTACAGAATCATTTATTAATTGGTCATGGTTAACAATCTTATGTATATAAATAAAATTAAAAAATAGTTTGAAACACGATAATTAACATCAACTTATGATCTATCACATAATTAGCAAGTCAAACCTTAAATATAAATATATTCAAAATATGAACCTAATAAAACTCAATTTTAAGCATAATAAAAAAAGGTTGAAGTGACAGATAAAGTTCAACATGTAATTCCAGATGTATAATAAGCAAATTAAGAAAGACTAGTAAAAAAGAAAGAGTTTACAAATACATTTAACGATAATTATAAAAAAATTCCTTTAAGAAAATGAATTATTTTATAAAAAAATTATCATCTAAATATACATTGTTGTATATTAATTATCAAAATTGTATCAAAATGAATATAATGAATCATTATAAGAAATTTTCTATAATAATGACTCTTCAAATTAAGAATAAGAATTTTTATATATATCATGAAACAATTTGAATTAATATTTTATTATGATATCATAACTAATATTAATTCTATATATCATAAATAATTAAGAGATATTTAAAGTCTAATAATTATTATTAATAAATAGACTTTAAATAATTGTTTAATTATTTTACATGTTTATGTAAGAAAAGAATACAAAATTGATGACATGTTTAAAAAAATAAAGATTTTTTGTTCTATGTCTTATGATTTTAATACAAACTGAGTAGATTTATAATATTGTACTTTATGCTAAAATATTATTTTCATTCTTCTTTGTTTGGCTTTACTCTCTTAGCATTCTTTCTCTTTCTTCTTCCTTCTCTACCTTAACCAAATGGTGATGTGACAGCAAAATCAACCAATTTTTCTGATTCTACTCTTACTAAAAAGGATGGAGAATTGACTAATCTCTTTCCTACTCTAATAATAAATAAATTGTATTAAATACCTAAAGTGTCGCTATCTAATTAAAGTTCTGGCATGATGAATTGATGATGCTTGATTACTTTTGAATACAAAGGTTTAAAGTCTTCTTTCCATCATTTTTTATGTTGTTAAACCAAGGACATAATCCAACTTTCTCTCTTATTCAGATAACAAACCAAATCTAACCATTCTTCTGATTAATGCTTCTCCTTCAAATAATCTTCTTGGATCCTTTGGGTCAAGAGTCAACAATTCTCTTGCAGCCTTTCTAATTCTAGCTAAAGTAAGTTAAACTCTCCACACCTCTCTTTTGTTCTTTAATCCATACTTACCAATAATTTGCAATCTAAAATTGAATGAATATTAAAATTACTCATTGTCAAGACGTTCCTTTTCGAAAGGCTTTCTTGGTGTATCTGAAGTCTTTGATCTATTTCTGTAATTCTTGCCCATAATAAAAAGATTTAAATATATTTAAATTTATTCACAATTAAATAAATCACTCTGTTCATATTTGTTATATGACTTGATTAACAATACAAGGATTTTTTTTTAATTATTAGATAAAGCTATGATATTAATAAATCTATATGTATTAGAAATAATTCTCTCATTAATTTTATAATCCAACTAACAACTAATTCTCTAAAAAAATAGAAATATTATTGGTAGTGTAATAGGAATAATAATACATTATGAATTTATTTACAAACTTTTATTATATACAACAGTATCCTTTTAAATATAAATTAGATAAACTGATAAAAAGAAATAAGTGATCACTAAATTCATTTATAATTTTGGTTGATCAAAATATCATTAAAAGAAAAGAATTTTGCCAGATAATTTAATATTCAATCTGATTTATAAACATAAAAATTAATTGATTCTATTTATTAAATCAAAAGCAGCTAANATTTAAAGTCTAATAATTATTATTAATAAATAGACTTTAAATAATTGTTTAATTATTTTACATGTTTATGTAAGAAAAGAATACAAAATTGATGACATGTTTAAAAAAATAAAGATTTTTTGTTCTATGTCTTATGATTTTAATACAAACTGAGTAGATTTATAATATTGTACTTTATGCTAAAATATTATTTTCATTCTTCTTTGTTTGGCTTTACTCTCTTAGCATTCTTTCTCTTTCTTCTTCCTTCTCTACCTTAACCAAATGGTGATGTGACAGCAAAATCAACCAATTTTTCTGATTCTACTCTTACTAAAAAGGATGGAGAATTGACTAATCTCTTTCCTACTCTAATAATAAATAAATTGTATTAAATACCTAAAGTGTCGCTATCTAATTAAAGTTCTGGCATGATGAATTGATGATGCTTGATTACTTTTGAATACAAAGGTTTAAAGTCTTCTTTCCATCATTTTTTATGTTGTTAAACCAAGGACATAATCCAACTTTCTCTCTTATTCAGATAACAAACCAAATCTAACCATTCTTCTGATTAATGCTTCTCCTTCAAATAATCTTCTTGGATCCTTTGGGTCAAGAGTCAACAATTCTCTTGCAGCCTTTCTAATTCTAGCTAAAGTAAGTTAAACTCTCCACACCTCTCTTTTGTTCTTTAATCCATACTTACCAATAATTTGCAATCTAAAATTGAATGAATATTAAAATTACTCATTGTCAAGACGTTCCTTTTCGAAAGGCTTTCTTGGTGTATCTGAAGTCTTTGATCTATTTCTGTAATTCTTGCCCATAATAAAAAGATTTAAATATATTTAAATTTATTCACAATTAAATAAATCACTCTGTTCATATTTGTTATATGACTTGATTAACAATACAAGGATTTTTTTTTAATTATTAGATAAAGCTATGATATTAATAAATCTATATGTATTAGAAATAATTCTCTCATTAATTTTATAATCCAACTAACAACTAATTCTCTAAAAAAATAGAAATATTATTGGTAGTGTAATAGGAATAATAATACATTATGAATTTATTTACAAACTTTTATTATATACAACAGTATCCTTTTAAATATAAATTAGATAAACTGATAAAAAGAAATAAGTGATCACTAAATTCATTTATAATTTTGGTTGATCAAAATATCATTAAAAGAAAAGAATTTTGCCAGATAATTTAATATTCAATCTGATTTATAAACATAAAAATTAATTGATTCTATTTATTAAATCAAAAGCAGCTAACTAAGCAAAAAATAAAGTTATATTTAAATTAATTTAGCATAAATCTAATGTAACTAAAATTATTAAAAGGGATGGAAATTGAAAATGGTACAATTTAATCTTAAGTAATTACAATATTGGTAATATGGAATTCAAATAATTTTAATATAGTAAATAAAATAATTTTAGATATGATTAATCATTGTAAGTAAAATAGTTAGTGGAGTATAGAAATCAAAATTATATTGTTTTAATTAATGATTATATTTTTTGAATATAAAATTTAGATAATTTAAATTCTACTAGTTAATTATATAATGATATTTATGTTAGATTTTCTTATTTAAAAATAAAGATTTTGAAACTTAATATGTAGAGTAAAGAATTTAGATTATTGTATATATGATTATAAGATTGATAGAATTTATCAATATGGAGATTTAAGGAATTTGATTGATAAAAATATTTATATAAAATTTTGAATAATTGAAATTTAATAAAAGTTGTATAATTGATTTATTGTAAAATTTATGATAAATTATCAATATATAACAAGAAAAACAAAAATCATAAATTGTATTATTATGGTTGTCCATAAACAACAATCATTAGTGTATGATAATAAACTTTTAAGATTAGAATCAGTAACTTTGATTTCATGAGTAGCTTGTTCAACCTAAAATAAGAATAATTGCTTTTACATTGTCATTCAATCTCCTTAAAATAACTTTATCTTCATCTAAAGCCAAATTAATCTATTTGCCATTATATTACATTCTCCCTGTGGTATCAATCATTTTGTCTATGGTTTCATTTTATTTTGAAACTAACTATTTTTGCATTTAAACCATTTCAACATTAGATTTGGAAGTAAAATCAATTTTATTTTCAGGAATATCCTATAATAAATAATACTTAAATATATACAATTTTGAAAACTTATTTGATTTCTAAAGCTTTTCTAATTTTTTCAGAATTATTTTAAAATTCATCTAATAAGTTTTTGAATCTCAAGATATCATTTTGAGAACTAGTTGATTTACATAGAATACAGATTTGATGATTTATTTAATAAAATTCTAGCTTATTTAATAGAATCATTAATGCCGTCAATTTATATTGCTAGTTGTTTATCTATCTAAGAAAATGTAATTTGAAATTACCATAATTATAGATTCATTGTTTTATAATTTAAAATTTCTTTGTTTAAGTGCTTCTGAAGTATTGATATCCATTTTTCTAATCTGTTCTATAATATCTTAGAGTTTTGATCCTCCATCTAATGTAGTATAATAATTCATAAATATAAATAATTTATTATTATTAATAGTAATAATGTAATGAATCATAATAATTTTGTTTTTTGGTAATCATCTGTTCTGTTGACTAATTTTAATGTGATATTTTATTATTTAATCTTCTAATATTTATGATTGAGAATACAAAGCACAGAAATAGATATCACAATAAATATACCTAGCAAAATACATAGAACAAGGGATATTTAATAAAATGAAATAGTATTATCAATTACTATATTATATGTAGATGTTAATTGAATAATACTTTCATCATCCTAATTAATCAAAATGAGAATCCATAAAGTTTATTAATTATTATTGATTTCATCATCAAAATAATTAACTGAAATAGAGTAACATCCTTCATAGAAAACATATTAATTGTTAAGTTAATTTACATAAAGTGTTTTATTAAGACATTAACTATCTGTTTATTAGAATCCACATCTTTAAGTATTCTAAGTTTTATTGGGGAATTAGAATTATTGAATAAGACAAGGATACTTAGGATCGTTGTATGGCAATAAAATTACTTAAAAAGTCTTATTATTAGATGACATTAAAGTTTAATTGACTATAAGATTACCTACTTTAAAGTTTTATTTCTGATAATCTCCAATAACTTATCCTAATTACAAATAGCTATATGGTTGTATAATTGGCTATTCAATTATAGTGGTTAATTGTGAATATGTTATGGTAATCAATATGAATAATATAATTATCATGGATTAATATAAATATTATTATTATAGATAATATGTATATTAATAATGATAAAATAAATTATTTTTTATAAAAATGATGAATTTAAAACCACCTAAAAGTTAGACTGATAGTGCATCTGATAATGGTAGTGTTAATAAAATCAGTGATAAACAAAAGATAAACACTTTAAAAAAGGCAGTAATAGATTTAAGAGAAGAGAAATCTCAATTAATGAAATAGATTGCAGAATTAACTCTTAAAAATAATTAGTTAATTAAAGAAAGAGAAGATACAGTATGATTCAATTTAATAATATTAGGAAGAAAAACATAATTCAATGATTAGAGATTTATAAGGTTAATTAACTATGGTAATCATGAACTATTTTATTTTAGAATTAATCCAATTTAACATAATCTTCTTATTTAAAAGAACCAAATAATAATAGTAATGATTAATCTAAATAAGTAACTAAACTCAAACAGTAAATATTTTATATATTTCAAGAGAATTAGACTCAACTATTACTAATTATGAAGCTAGATTTGCTATTTTATAGACTGCCTATAAGGAGATGGAAAGAGATTTGAAAAATAAAGAGATATCTAATTAGAAATTGATAAAGGATGTAGAAGAAAAGACAGAATTAAATAATCAACTCAAAAAGAATATTGAAGATATAGAGAGAGATTTATATAATAAAATTAAAGATTTAAAAGCTGAAAAGATGGAAATTTAATTAAAATTTAAGACTTTAGATAAAGAAATGTAATAGAAAGATGAAGAATTAAGAGTATTACATAAAGAATTGGATGATTCTAGATTTAAAGTAGCTTAATTATAAGGAGAACTTGAAGAAACTAGAGGAAAATTTATTTAATATAAACTCATTTTGCATAATTAATTTTTGGATATTGATTGTCTATTTATCTTAAGACAAAATCTATTTAATGATTACATATTTGAATTAGAAACAGCAGCTTAGAAATTCTAATATAAGGCAAGTGATATTACAGATTTGAAAATTAAGGATGAATCTTCATTCTTTTTGTCTGTTAAATCAAGAAGTAGAGAAGAAGTTTTCATTATTTAACAAAATTAGGATTTAAAGAAGATTTGCAAATCAATTAAGTATATATATATACATTTTATTATAGAAACTTTCTATTAAAAGCCTAACAATATTAAATAAATTAGTAACATAATCAAGCATAAAGTCCTAAAAACAATGGTCTATTGGGAGGATTAATGTCTTTTTTTGGAGGTACTTAATCAAAGAATGGAAGCAATACAAATAGTGATGCAAAACAAAAATGATATTTTTATAATCTAAAATATTATATGAGTTAAGAAGAAGAAAATAATGACATTGATGTCTAAGCTTTATTAGCTAGTATCAATGCTAATTTTGACAATGAACAAATACTTAATGAGGCATAAAGCAATGCATAAGAAGTGCATTAGGATATTGATCAATTGCAATAGGGTCCAAGTGAATCCATTGTTATTGTTAGAGATCAACCAATATAAAAAGAATAAGAAGAAGTAGATCCAGTTGTGGAAATATTGAATAGAGTTGAAATATAAAATAGTTTATTAACCAATCCAGAAATTAATTAGCATTAATTAGGTAAAATCTATATTGATTAAAAGAGACGGGTCCATTATAATAAATTATTGAGTAAATAAAGGAAAAATTTGATAAGCAATAAGAAATTATTGTTAAAAAACAACGAAATATTTTTAGTCAAATAATTGATATCAGAAATTTATCAAATTAATTAGTTAATGTATAAATTAACAATCATGGAGTGAGCAAAATGAAATTGAATGACTTTAAAACAAAGCAAAAAGAAATAGATTAGTTAGACATTTAAGTTTTTAAGACTAAAGGATATGTTTTGTCTATTATTGAAAGATTGGAAATTATGGAACAAAAGTTAGATTATAAGATAGATTCATATGTTAAATAGAAAGTACAAGATTTAGCAAAGAAAGGATGATATAATTGACTTATATATAGATATTTATATTGAAAAAATATTTAATTAATTTATATTATGTCTTTCTTTATTATAACTATTCTTCTATATCAATTTGATCATTTTGAAAGTAGAAGTTCAAACTAAAAGTAGATTTTATTTTAAATTATGCTTCATTAAATAAAGATGAATAAAGAGATTATTGATTATTTAATTACTTATATTGATTAAAAATAAAAGTATATCAATATTTTTGGTTAATCAAATAAGTGAGAATCATTGAAATTAAATTATATCATCAATTTTATTATTATTAATAGAGAGGAATCTTTGAGGGTAGTTTAGTATATTAATATTTAGATATACTTTTGAAAAGAGTAACTAACATTTATTTTTTATCTAAATATATATTTCTTATTTATAATTAGGTTCACATCCAGCCACATGAAATAATCTTATCTAAATTTGGATTATTTTATATTATATAATATTAAAATATTATTTAATTTTATATTAAAATGTCTAAAGAGGGCAGTGTTTTATGGTCACCATTCAAAACAACAAAGGAATTTATTGAAAAAGATTAAAAGATAACAAAAGGCTTCATTTAAGGGGCATTGTTTGCAGTTATTGGTTATGGAGTAGGATTTGCCTTATTCAAAGCTAAGACATTAAGAGGCTTTAGTGCTGGTACTGCAGCAACTTGGCGATTTAGAGATTAGATTGAATAATGATTTAAATAATAAATATATTATTAAGCTCAAAATTTTTTTAGCATATTCATCTGAGTAATTAGAATATGTAAATCAATTGAATTCCTTTGTATTTGAAGTATTTAGTAAAGAATAAGGAGTCTATTTAAGAAAATATAATTAACTCAAAGCATATTAGTTAGATTTGTTTAGATGGGTACAATACACTAAAATAGACATAGTCATATGAATAAAAAAATAAGAAGAAATAATGAGTCAAAGGAATAATTAAAAATTACAGGAAATCATAATAACATAAGAAAGAAGTCAGAATGTAAGAATGATAAATAATAGTTGAATTAGAATACAATTTTACTTAATTCTTTATTTATTTAACATTTGTTATTTGGGTTCTTTAATTATATTAAGAAATACATTAGTATTTTGATATTAAATAAAAATGGAATATTTATATCTAAATTATTTTAGGTATATCAAATTATTATTACCATAAACTACAATAATAAAATCAATTAAATTATATGATATTTATAGTATCGTTATATTTTAATTCTTGTGATTGTAATAACAATAGATTAAGAGAAGATCTAAAACATATTAAATTCTCTAATCATTTAATATTTAATTTAATTGATAAATAATGTAGGTATTAAATTTAATTATAAAATAATCATTGTTTCATTTGGTACAATAAAAAATTCTTTTATATAGTTTAAGTATTCTCTCATCTATAAGAGCTAGATAGAATGTCTAAATTGTTAGTTTCCAAGAGTTCTATTAGTTATTTGATATAATTTAAATGAATGTATATCACATAAAAATAATCAAAAAAAAACAAGCCATTATTTGACAATCCTTTCAAATATTACTAAAGCTAATCATTAATAATATTAATGGATAATTCTGAGCTATATGATATACAATATATATTCGGCTCTCAAATACTGAATAACAAAATGCAATACTGTGTCAAATGGAAAAATTATCCCAAATCACAAAGAACCTGGGAGCCCATTGAGAATCTTGGTGTACACAATATATCCTCTGTTCGTAGATACTAGCGACATGCAGATTATTTTCTATTTTATTAGTTTATTAATGAGGGTTAAGTAGAAGGATATAGAGTACATTAAAAATAAAATACACTTGAAAAAATTAAAGTCATACCAGATCCTTAAGAAGAAGAAGAACAAATAGATTAAGCTAATACAGACAAACTTAACACAACACTCAAGGATACAATAAATAAAGAGAATATCAAATAAATCTCTACACCTAAGGAAATTACAAAAAGGACAAATCGATCTAGTAGAAAATAAATTTAACCAAAACAAGAATATGAATCTCATTCAGATTCTAAAGATTCTGATTTTGGTAAAAGAAGCAAGAAATCTAGATCTAAAGCCAAATCTTCATAATCAAGAAAGAAATCTCCATTATCAACAGGAGAAAAATCTAATCAAACTTAACCTAAGAAATCTTAGTTTGTAAAGAATGAATAAGTAGAAACTGATGAAATTAATCCTGTTTAACAAAAATCTTAAGAAATATAATAACTTCAAAATTAAGAAAAACAAAATGAAGATAATTTAAGTGAAAAATCTTAATCTCCTAAATAATAATAAAAAGTATAAACAAGATTGAGAAATTTGAGGAATTAAAAATCTATTGAATAGATTAAATCTCCTGCTTATTTCAATTAAGTTAGAAGACTTATTCAATCTTTAAATGAAGATGAGAGATCACTTGTTGTATCTAATATTAATGATAAAATGAAAGATAATATCTTTGAACATTTGGGAGCTTTATGTATATTAGATTATATGTAAAGAAGGGATGAAGTAATGTAGGAAATAAAATAACAAGAATATATATATCCTTTAAAAGGAGAACGTAGTGGTTAATTGAATAAATAAAATAAGAGAAATAAGAAATTAGAAAAATCATCTATCAAAATGGAATCTTAAAGATCAACTGATATTGCTTGTCCTCCTATATCTAAAAGACTAATTAAAATATCAGCCTTTGAATAAAAAAAGAAATTAATGAAAAAAAAAGAGGATCCTTGCAATATGTCAGATTTCTTGGCTTCCATTAAACAATTTCCATAATTTGGTGTTGTTTCAACAGAAATTGACTTTAAAGATTAATATGGATAAATTGGATTTTAAATGGGTGAAGAAATAACTGGACATTATTATGGTGTTAATGCTAATGAAGTTGGTAAGGCTAATATTTAATTGTATTTTATAATGAAATTCAGAAGAGAAGGAGATAAAACATTTTTATATAATCATGTCACAAAAGCTGAATGTTAACTTTATGAAAAAGATTTACTCTATGATTATGTCTATAAAAATTAAGATTTACTACCAGAGATGTATAATGAACTTATTGTTAGAAGTGTTTATAATTAATAGTGACAATTTTAATTTAATTTTTTAATTTTTCATATGCTATCCTATAAATCTTTATATGGAATTGCTAAATTCAATCAACTCAAAGACTATTATGCTATTCTTAATATATCAAAAACTAATGATCAATCTACCATCAAGAAAGCGTACTATGCATTAGCCAAGAAATTTCACCCAGATGTTAACCAAGGCAAGGAAGATAAATTTAAAGAAGTTAATGAAGCTTATGAAGTAATCATTTGTATATTCTTAGGTGTTGTCTGATGAAAATACAAAAAAGGAATATGATACTGCAAGAACACCCTAATCCTAAAATAATTAAAGCTAATAATATCAATAATATTATGACTCTAGAAAATATTAATCTCATTCTCAACATAGATAAGGTTAGAATTATTAGTAAAATTATATGATTTATTTATAAGTCAAAATCAAAACACTAGAAATCAATTTGATGAAGCAATAAGAAGAGCATAAGAGCATCTAAATTAATAATAATAGTATAGACAATATGAGAGAATGAGAGCTAAGTAGGAATATGAAGATAGAATCAAATAAGAAGAAATGTATGCAAGAGCAAGGGATTAATAATATAAGGAATTTGCAAAATCATATCATAATGAAAATAAAAGAAAAACTTTTTATTCATAAGAAGAGAAAGAAGCATATGAATAATTTGTTAGATAAAGAGAATTTGAAGAATCTATAAAAGAAAAGATTGTATTTAAACTAAATATGTTTAGCAAGATTTTAAATTAAAAGGAGAATAGGTTATGAATGGATTTTCAAACATCAACAAGAATTTAGGAGATATCAAAGATAATTTAGGTTCTATTTGGAATACTATCAAAGGTAAAAATCGATGAATCATTAATTATTTATATTTTTTTTAATTCATTTATTTCTACTATAATTATATAAATTCTGTTATTTTATTATTAGTTTTTGATGGTTTTTATCAATTAAAAAAGAATTATGTTTTAAAATAAATTCAATTATTTATGGATTATTAAGAATTGTACGATTTGAGAAAAAAACTTTTAGATTGGAAAAAGTTTCCTACCGAAACTCTTTGTATTTTGAAATCATTAGAATAATCTCCACTTGAATGGGAAAATGTTAATAAATCTAAAATATAAAAAACACTGCATACTCTTACAATAATAGATGATAAAAATGATCCTTTAGCAACAACGATCAAAGCCAAAGCTTCAGCATTATAAGATCGTTTTAAAAGACTTTCTTAAGCTAAGGCTATTTAAAGATCTTCAAAAGAATAATAATAATAGGCAATTGAAGAAATTAAGATCTAAAAGTAAAATAGTGTATAGAGCACTTAGAGTAGTAGATCATTGCCTGATATTGATCTTTTTGCTAATTATCGAGTACCATCTCCAGCTTATGCAGATAGGCTCAAATATTTAAATGGAATAAGTAAAATGTTTATTGCAAACATTTTGAACTTCAAGAAAGAGAATGATTTAAATGAATCTGATTATTAGATTATCAAAGAATGTGTAGAAATAATGGAAAAAACTATATATTATAAAAGAGGATAAGAACATAGTTCTAGAAAAGCATATGAATAAGATTTGAGAATTTTAGCGGGTTTTTTAAAGAAAGATAAAAATGGTTCTCTTACTTATAGAATTTTTACAAAAGCTTTTGATCCTATTTCTGCAGCATAATTAAGGTATAAATAAAATAAAAAATATAGAGCAGCTGATTGGGTTGATGATGAAACAAAATAAGAATAAGCAAGAATTATTAAGGAGAAAATGGAAGCAGAATAAATTGGTTTTTATAAGGATTTAAGTAAAAGAGAAATGGAAGGAATAGAAGGAAAGACTTGTAAAGGATGTGGTCAAAAAAAAGTATATCTTGTAGATGAAAAATAAACACGTGCATCAGATGAACCAACAACTAAATTTTTTGAATGTTACAATTGTGGAGATAAATTTAGAATATGTTGATTATAAAAAAAACATTTTATTATAGTTTTCTTAAACAGAATTTCAACTTTATATTTGAATTTAAACTCAAATAAAATCATTCATATTGTAACCACTTTTTTCTTTTCTCCACTTCTATTGCTCCCTTTGTTAAATATAATGATTTTATTTCTTCTTTTGATTATAACTTTTGATCCTCTTCTGCCATCCAATAAATAAAGTAGTTTTTGTTTTCAAGAAATTATTTCAAATTTTGAAAGTTTCCCGAACAAGCTTTGAGAAGTAAGATCATTTTCTCAAATGGTATATCATACCATATGCTTAAATCATGTAAAGCATTTTAAAATTATTCCTATTTCAATCTTTCTAATTATTAATAGTTAGGATTAGTAGGAAATCTCTATTCTTAATAAATAGGAGTCCTACAATATAGAATTTATTTTTATAAATCTGTAAGTTAATAATAGTTTTAGATTTAAGGTTAGACATCTGGTTGAATTCGTATCTTTTTCTTCAATAAAGGTTCCCCCAATTATATTATTTCCTTTTTGGTTTATTTTGCATCCTTTTTCTTTTTGATTTCTTCATTGATTTTAAAAATTTATAATTCTTTTTTATCATAAAATAATATTCCCTCCAAACCATTATTTTTAATAAATTCTATAATTTATTTTAAATCATCTTCTGTTAATTTCTTAATACAATTAATATATCTAAGTTTTAATTCATCAGGAGTCTTTTTATAACATTTTTCTGATAATTACTCAAAATGTTGATAGGTTAGTTTATCAATTAACATTTTTTCCAAAATCAACATATCTTCATATAATGAAAATTAACTTTACTCTAAATATTAAACTATATATAAAATAAGAAACATTTATACCAATCTTTTTTTCTTTAGCTTAAGTATGTTATGAAATTTATTATTGTATAAATTGTAGCATTATAATAAAAACAAATTAATAATAAATTTATCATTTTTTATTTAATTTTGGTAAATAAACTTTTTGATATGAAAATGTTTTAGATTGCAGCATTTATTTTTATTGTCTAGATTCAGGCCTCAAAAATACATCTAACTATTTAATGTTATTTGGATCCTTATCTATTTATCTTGTGCAATCTAAAAAAGACTTTAATAATAATGATCCTCTGCTTTTAGTTTTATTTTCATCATTTATTTAAGTACTTATCATTTTACTAGTATTTGATATTTCATCCATTTCTTTAATTTTCTCCATTGCTTTTCTCATCCCATCTTCAAAATCTATTATTTAATTTTTATTAAACTTAGACTTTCTAAATATAGGAGTTTATAGCTATTATAAAATAGAACTTCCTTTTAATTCTTTATATACTTAAACTCTAAGTGGAGTTTTTTATTATGAATTTGAAGAATTTGCATTATTAATATTTTAGTTATCGTCTTCATCTTCTAGAGGTAAGAGTCTTATAAATGAATATTATTTTGTTTTCTATCTTTAAATTTTAACTTTTTATATTGGAATAGATATGGCATCTGGCATTGTTTTACAAATTTATTATACATTTGATTCAACCTTGCTGTCATATTTTTCAATGAGTCTATGCAATTTTTGTATATTCCTTTTAGGTTATTCTAATGTAGGACTAATTAATGGTTATTCTGTTAGGCTAGTATTTTGTTGTAGTACTATTTTCTTTGGTGTAATTAAATAAAATAAATTTCTAAGAACCAATAATTTTCAAATGTACTTTGTTATTTTTAATTCATGTGATTATGAAATATCACAATACTTAATATTTTCATGTTGAGCAATTAACTTAGGTACAAACTTTGATTCATTTACTTATCCTAATTAATACTCTTCTAATTATTTTTTAATTCCTCCTCCACATTCTTAACATTCACAACTTTTATTTCTTATCAAAATTGGAAAAGTATTTATTTACTTAGATTCTCGAAAAGTCTATTGTTTTTTTATATATATTTTATCTTGTAAGAGATTATTTAAGATTCTTTTTTGCATATTTAGTTATATAATATTCATAAAACTATATTAACCAAGATACTTATTTTTTTTATTGAAATTGTTCTAATTTCACTCTGGGATTTAATTGTTAAAAAATTTATAATCATTATAATTTTATTAATATATTAAGAGTAATAATTCCTTTTTTTTTATTAGTATTGGTAGTAGTTTATGATTGTAGTACAAAAAGATTCAATACTATCATTAGGAATATAATTAATTACCTTCCTTAAAGGTTTATTATAAATATATATATATAAATGAAATTTGATGTATTAAAATCAAGATGTAAAAAGTTAATTCATAATCCCACCTTAAATTTGGAGAAGATATATATTGATATATCTTTAGGAAATTAATATTATTTTCATATTAAAATAGAAATTTTTGATACATTGAAGTATACTATTTTATAATATTAGTATATCTTTTTAAATAGTAGATAAAATATCTGAATAATCTAAATTAATAAATGATACTTTATTAAATTAAAATTGAAACAATCATGAATATATACAAAGATCATTTTATTCGATTTGTTTCATCATTAAAATTTTAATAATAGTGATTTTTTCTTTGATATGGTTTTGAATATGGAACACTCAAATTTAAATCACGAATTGTTATGATGAATGTTTCATTTGGAATTATTTCAAAGAAAAAATTGATTTCCATCTTCTTTAAGATTTTATTTTCATTCCATCTTTATATAAAATTATTGGACTAACTAAAATTTATAGAAATTTATAAATAATTATTGTCTAAATTTGATAAGCTAGTCAATTTAATTTTTTTATGTACATTTACATTCATCTAATTAAAAATTTCAAATATATGATAAAATGAAATTATGAACAAAATTTTATAAGTATGTACAACTAATTCTAATTCATTTGCATCAATTTTTACATCTTAATGTACAATAGTTTTTAATACTTTTAAAACTTTGATTGCATCAAAAGATTTTATAGTTGATTATTTAAATGTTAATGTAGATATACAACTTAAATTTAATCTAATCAAATTTCTAATTATTTTTTATTTTGGTAATTTAAGAATTTTATATGTGTTACTAATATGATTAGTAATAAATTATTAAAATTTATCATAATAATCTTTGATTTGTAGATATTAATTTAATTCAGTTACATTTTATTTAAAAACAATTAAGAATTATGTTTTATCAGAGAATAATTCTGAATAAGATATAACTTATTTATTTTTAAAATTAGTTTATATTTCTAATTCTTATTCAGAATATTATTCAGCATTTCTTTATTTCATTCTTTCAATAATAAATTATTCTAAAGTTTAACCTTTTAATTTATAATTTCTTAACATTTATCTTAAATGACATCCTTAACAATAATCTAACAAGATATCCATTTAATTAATATTTGATTAATGTGCATTTGTTTTTATCAAATGAAATTAATAACTTTTATATTCAAAAAAATAAAATGGTTATTTAATTACAATTGGTATAAACTACTCTTTTTATATAAATGATAATTACATTATTAATCTTCTTTTAATTTTAGTAAATATTGTTTCCTTAAAGCTAAATTTAAGTTATAATATGTGATTATCTAAGCAATGATTAAAGAGAAGTTTAAAAAATATTAATATGCCATATATTCATTGTTAAGTATAAATGAAAATAAAATTCTGATAGATGATATGAATAATATCTAATGTAAACAATGTTTAAATTCTGTTCCAAATAAAATTATCATCTAGATAACCATAATATTACATCCTTTTGCATATGCTTAATGTAATGAATATGATGTGTCTAATTAAAAGTACTCTATAGCACAAATATAGTTTATAAGTATTAAACAAATATGAAGATAAGGTTTTAGTTTTGTAAAAAGTATCAAACCAATAAGACATAATATTACTATTATTAGTTCTATAGGCCAGGAAGTATTTTTTTAATCAACTGAATCAACTATTAACTTAAGTATATTATTTATTAGCACAATAAATATAATTCCTAAGTAAATTACTTTCCTTGCCCATAATCGATTCATTTAATAGTTATCTTCTAATTATTTAGAATGAAATGTCAACGTAATATTATTCATTATTAAAAATAGATTATTTTAATAATTCAATAATAAATATTTTCATTCTTCTTTTATCTACTTCTTATTTTACTCTACCATACCATAATTTATAACTACTAAATAATGATATCATAATTTAACATTTATATATATATATATTTTTTCTAGAATAAAATATATAATATAAATTTAGAAATATTAGTCAAAATTTAACAACTAAATATTATATCTAATTCATCACATTTTTCTAATAATAAAATTATTATCTAAATATATTCATTTTTGTTAAATATTATATGATTTAATAAAAAATATTATTTTAGATTGTAAAATTTATAGATTTATTAGAAATAAGTTCTTATAATACAAAAATGATTAAAAAATAATACCATTTATATATATTATTATTATGTAAATTTAATAATTTAAGTTATAACCATATAATATAAAACAAGAATAGATTTCATAATAGGTAATTTTAATTTAGATGAAATATTTATTTAATATTTTTTTAGTATAAAATATTACATTAAACAAAATTAACTTATAAAAGAAAATGCCACTAAATTTAAATAAATATAATTGCATATTAAATGTCCCAATTCTTATAACCCACAATCTTATTATTAAGAGAAGGCACAGATACATCATAAGGAAGAGCATAAATTGTTTCTAATATTAATGCAGTTTAAGCTGTGGCGGATGTTGTAAAGAGTACCTTAGGACCTAGAGGAATGGATAAAATGATATAGACAGGCCCTAAAGTTACTATTTCAAATGATGGAGCAACTATTTTGAATTTATTAGAAGTTGTACATCCTGCTGCAAGAGTTTTAGTAGATATTGCCAAATCTTAAGATGATGAGGTTGGTGATGGTACAACATCTACTACTCTTTTGGCAGCTGAATTACTTAAAGAGGCTAAACCATTCATAGAAGAGGGAATTCATCCATAAATTGTTATTTAAGGTTATAGAAAAGCTTTGGAATTGGCATTAGAAAAATTAGAGGGATTTTCAATTAATATTAGCAAGGATTCTAAAGAAAGTAAAAGGGATACATTAATAAAATGTGCTTAAACAGCTTTGAATTCAAAATTGGTATTATAATATTTAAAATTTTAGTTAGCGAACACAAAGCAATTTTTTAGTGAATTAGTTGTTTCAGCTGTTGAAAAATTAGATCCTAATATTTTAGATAGAGATTTGATAGGAATAAAAAATGTAACTGGTGGAAATATAACAGATTCATTTTTAGTTGATGGAGTAGCATTTAAGAAAACATTCTCTTATGCTGGATTTGAATAATAACCTAAGAGATTTGAGAATCCAAAAATCTGTTTATTGAATTTAGAATTAGAATTGAAGAGTGAGAAAGAAAATGCTGAAATAAGAATTGAGAAACCTGAAGAATATTAATCAATAGTGGATGCTGAATGGGCTTTAATATATGAGAAATTAGAAATTATAGTTAAAGCAGGTGCATAAATTGTATTATCTAAATTACCCATTGGAGATTTGGCTACATAATATTTTGCAGATAGAAACATCTTTTGTGCTGGTAGAGTTGCTTAAGAGGATTTATTAAGAGTATAAAAAGTATATTTTATATTTATAAACTAAGGCAACTGGTGGTTAAGTATAAACAACTGTTAATGGATTAAATCCAGAGACTTTTGGTACATGTGGTTTATTTGAAGAAGTTTAAGTTGGTGCTGAAAGATATAATTTATTTAAAAATTGTCCTTAAGTAATCTATTAAAATAATAAAAATAGTCAAGAACTGCAACTATAGTTTTAAGAGGTGGAGCAGAATAATTTATTTAAGAAGCAGAAAGATCTTTAAATGATGCAATTATGATTGTTAGAAGATGTTTCAAAGCAAATAAAATTGTAGCTGGAGGTGGTGCAATTGAATTAGAAATTTCAAGATTTTTAAGACATTATGCAAGATCAGTTACAGGAAAAACATAATATATAGTCAATTCTTTTGCAAAAGCACTTGAAGTTATTCCTAGAACTATTGCTGAAAATGCTGGTTTGAATTCTATTGAAATTATGAATAAATTAAGATAAAAACATGCATAAGGTGGTGAAGAAGGTAGATGGTATGGTGTTGATATTAATGGTGCATCTGGAGTTTGTGATACTCATTAATCATTTGTATGGGAACCAACCTTAGTCAAAAGAAATGCATTATGTTCTGCAACTGAAGTATTCTTTTTAATTTTAATTTAGGCTGCTTGTGCAATCTTATCAATTGATGAGACTGTTAAAAATCCTAAATCAGATTAGGATACAAAAATGAAACCAAAAGGATAACCAGGAAGACCACCTATGGGTATGAGAAGATGAGTGTTTTATAATATAAAAATTTACATTTAAATATTACACAATAATTAATATAATATATTATCAAAATATTGAAAATTGTAGAAGAAATCTAAATATTACTTATTATTATATATTATGGTTTTTATGATATTATATTTTAACAATTGAATCATTCTCTTAATGGTACAATTGCTGGTGCTACAATTTTTAATACTTCTACTAATCTTCTGTGGCAATTCAATACAGCTTAATGATCGCTATCTTAAAATTTTCCAATAGGTCTTTAACCTATTCAATCATTTAATTATTTGTAAACCTGTTATTTATTTATAGCAAACTCTAAATAGTCTATTAACTGTCTCTTGATTTGCAATTGATAAGATACGGTCTGCTTATGCTTCACTCATCTTCACAAAATTAATTTATATATATATATTAATATTATATATTTACAAATTTGATCTTTAATTTACTCATATATTATTTACTTCCTCAAATTATTATATAAATTCTATATAGTAAAGTAGACTTATAATTAAAATTAGTTTGATTAAGGATTTTTAATATAACAATATACATAAATGTATACATATTTATGGATTATTATTTATATGAAATAATTCAATCTGTGAAATAAAAGAAATCATGAGCTGCATTATCATATAATCTCATACAAAAACATCCAACTATTCTTTAATAAAATGCTTACGTCCATAGCTAAATACTGCAGGGAACCAGAAATTTCTAATATTCTTTCTGTACCATGCACCATAAAAGAGTCTTTTGAATAAATATTCTTTAGGACCTCCAAACATATAATGAAAATTGTGATGTTGATTCGATAATGATCTTGAATGCTAAATAAAACCCTTAAATGTTTTATTAACTTATTTACTCTTTCATAATTGAATTTATCATGATAATTTGATAAATTATTCTTGCTATTATGTGCCATATATTCTGCTCTTTCTGGTAAATGTCTCAGACCTCCTCTAAAAGTTCTAAATTCATCAGACTTATATTCACTAACATATGTTAATCCTGCTCCCTTTGCGTTCATAATTTTAAGATTTTAATTATTTAATCTAATAAACAAAAATAAAAATAAAATCTCTCTATTTTAATATAACACTATTAAAAATTAACATTTTATAAACTTTAGGCTATGTTAGAGGAAATTAAAGTGTATTTATTGGTAGTAATTATGTATATTATTTATAGATATATTTTACTTCAAAAAGGTAAAGTAAGAATATTTATAATTATTAGGAAAATACATACATCAATAATAAAATAGAAGTAAGAATAGAAGGATATAGTAATAATATAAATGTAATAAATATATAATATTATAATCTATTACAAACCTTATCTTTTTGATTTGATTTGATAGTAGATATATTAAACAATAATTATAGATTCATAAATATTATCATTATAAATCATCAATAAAAATTTGATCTAATTAAATGGCTTGAGATTTTTATAGAAAATTAACAAAAGATATTCAAAAACATTAAATATAGTTTTTGTTTATTATATGATCTAATAATGAAATAGATTATTATTTAGTTCATTAATAAAAACATAATAGAATCAAAATGAAATGAATAACATTATGTAATTTATTTGATTTATAATATTTTAACAGATTATTATAATTTTTAACGTATAATTAAAATGCTTCAAGAACAGTATAGATTCTTTGGTAAAGAGATAGTCAATTCATCTGGTGAATTTTATAAAGAAAACATTGACAGAAATAAATCGAAACATTTAACAGTAGTACCTAGATATTTAAAACTTAATTTATGGTGTGGAGAAAAGGAAAATTAAATGGAAGAAGAGCCTAATATTAACTAATTATGTCAATTTGATTAATAAATAATAAAGGATCCATAATTTACACCAATATACAATTAAGAAATATTTTAATATTTATTAAGTTAAGAATAGAAATATCTAGTTAGTAATAATTATATGAATGAATAATAATAACCAGACTTAAATGCAAGAATGAGATCTATTTTAGTTGATTGGTTAGTAGATGTTCATCTTAAATTTAAATTAAGGGATGAAACCTTATATATAACATCATATTTAATTGATAGATTTTTGAATATTCAAAAAACAACTAGATAATAATTATAATTAGTAGGAGTAGCTTCATTATTTATTGCTTGTAAATATGAAGAAATTTACCCACCAGATCTAAAAGATTTTGTATATATTACTGATAATGCATATACAAAATAAGATGTCTTAGATATGGAAGGTCAAATATTGTAAACTCTAGGTTTCTCAATTACACAACCATCTAGTTATTGTTTTTTATAAAGATTTGGAAGAATAGCTGGATTAGATACAAAAAATTTATTTTTAGCCCAATATTTATTGGAACTTTCAATAATCGATATCAAATTCATGAATTATAAACCATCTTTCTTGACTTCTGCAGCTATCTATTTAGTTCATAAAATAAGGTATCAAACTTATATTTTCATAGAAAGACACCTTAATCTTGGAATGAAGAGATGTAAAATACAACAGGATATAATGAATAAGAACTAAGATTTTGTGCTAAAGAAATGTGTTTGGTACTTTAATCATCAGATAAATCTAATCTTTAAGCAGTAAGAAAGAAATTTGCTTAGCCAAAATATCTAGAAGTTTCAAGAATTAGAGTAGAAAGACAAACAAAATCATAAAAATGAATTTTTAATTCATTATTAGTTATATTTATGTAAAATACTTCAAAGAATATAAATAATAAAATATTCTTTTATAATTTAAAAAAAAAAGTAGATCAATCAATTACTTTCATTCATATTGTTAAGTCAATTAATGAGATATGTTAGTACTTTTAGCAGGTTATGGATTAGCACTTTTTGTTCTAAGTCTGTAAGTTTCAAAGGATCTTCTTGAAGCTAATGTTATGTTCATATCTTTATTGAATCTCTCATTAATATCTTAAACACAATGTCTATTTATATTAACCCATCTATTTTCATTTGCTTATTTTTGTAATAGATGAGTAGTTTATTAACTTGCTAGAGATCTATATACTAAAGTAATAATTTCAAATATCTTATATAAATATTTAAGTCTTTAAATGATAAATTAAATACACATTTCAAATTTTTTCTTTAATTTTCAGTCTATATATAATTATTTAAAACTGAAATTAAAGAAATTTCTAAAATATTCTCTTCTATATCAATTAATCTAATTTCGAGATAATATCAATATTAAAGAATTAATTTTAATTATCTCTAGTAATTATTATAAATTATATATTTAATATATATTCATGGATTAAATTTACATAATTATTGTTTTTTTAGATGTTCAAATAAACATAAAAATAATAAATCTACTTTAACTTGAAGTATTCTATCTTGAATTTATATTTGTTTGAAAAGCAAAGAGAAGATTAATAAAATTGATTATATGTATAAAATCATAATCAGTTTTTATAAATAAATTAATAGATCCGTTAAAATTTTTGATGCGTTTTTGATGGATCTAAAAAGAGTATACAAAAAAAATAGATTAATTGTTTATGATCATATATTATAGTAAACTTTAGTATGATTTAATAATATAATATGTTCTTAAGAGTATAAGATAACTAATTAAAATAATAAAAATGAAGGCTAAAGCAATAATTGAATTTGTCGTTTTTATGGATTCTCTTAAAACTATTGGAATCTTTTTATTGGATGAGGGAATGTATCAAATAAGGATTAACTTATATATATAGAGTGTAAGTGATTTTGAGTATTGCAGTCCCAAAATTTGAAGATTCCTCTTACACCGAAAGAAACCTTGTTATTCAAGAGAAATGAATAACAATACTTGCCATAACACATAATAGATAATTTTTATATGAGTGATGCATTCTTATTGAGATAATGGACAGAGGAAGTATTAAATTATTTAAAATGGAAAGGAAAAATTTGAGATAAAAAATGGATGTAGGTTTAGTGGTGCAATTCCACATAATTTAAAAGAGCAACCATGTTATATGGAGATTGAATTGATGTATTATGATTTAGCATAGAAAATTGTTTCATTTTAAAGTATATCGATGGCAAAGTTTAAAATTGAAAATTCATCTAATGGAATATATGAATATGTTCCTGTAATATTAGGAGAAGATCACTTTAGTTTATTAAATCTAATTGTATAATTAATTTATATTATATATGATTAGGTACTTTGTTCTTTGACTAGTTTTGACATTTAAATATAGTAAGTATAAAATGAAGATAAGAAGGCAGGAGATTAACATTAAAATATTAATATGAGATAATTGTATAATAAAGTGTTGGAACCACTTAAAACATGTTATCGAAATATGCAAACATTCTATTATAATATGGAATTAGAAATTGAAAGACCTAGTAGTAGTGGAGGTATGTAATATCATCTTAGATAAACTAAGAGTTTTTAGATATTACCATTATCTAGTGCAGATTAATTATTAAAAAATGAATAAAATACATAATTAATAAGTAAAGTAATGGCAAATGAATTTAAAGTATTATAAAGTACAATAAATCAATTATGGCATAAAATAATTATAGGATTAAAATTAGGACATTAAAAAATATTAAGATAATTAAAAAAGGAATCATTAACAAATTTTTAAAGTAGATATTCTGCATTTACTTAAAAAGAAGTTATTCCTGTAGTAGATCATCAATATACAATGATACCTTAATAATAGAAATAAAGTCAAGAGTAGGCAGATTTATAAAATAAAAGATTAGAATATTAAAAATTATTACTTCAAGGTCCATCTAAAATAGTTGATTTAAAAATAATAGATGAAATTAAAGATAAATTAATGATTGTTGAAAAACATTATGTTACAAGATAAACATTCTAATTATCTAGATCTAAATTACATCTAATTGTTTTAGTTCATGGTTATTAAGGACATTCTTATGATATGAGATTATTGGAGAATTATATGTGTTTAAGGTTTCCATAGCATATGTTATTAGTATCATTATGTAATCAATAAAACACAGAAGGAGATATATTATAAATGGGTAAATATCTTAGTGATGAAATTAAAAATTATATTGCAACATGGTCTTATACAGATAAATTAGTTATATCATTTATTGGACATTCATTAGGAGGATTAATTATAAGAGCAGCATTACCATATTTGGATTTTGAATTTCATACTTTATTAACATTAGGAACACCTCATTTAGGTAATGTTACAAATCAAAGACCATTAATTAAATTTGGAATGTGGTTTTTTTAAAAATTAAAGAAATCTCAAAGTTTATCTCAATTAAATTGTTATGATGATACATTATTAAAGTTATCTTTATTTCCTGGAATGAATAAATTTAAACATATTATTTTATTTGGTTCTTAATAGGATCATTATGTAAATAGTGAAAGTAGTTTGTTAATGAAAGTTTCAGGTATTGAAAATGAATAAAAACATAATGAAATGGCTACAAATATTTTAAGACAATTACATCAAAATGAAGTCTTAAGAATTAGTATAGATTATAAATTTTATGATGGGTATCTTTTTTATAATTATTATTATTAGAGATTTTGATACATTTTTAGGAAGAAAAGCCCATATAGCAATATTAGAATCACATTTTCTAAATTAATATATAATTTATAACTTAGGAGATTATTTTAAATGATTTGATATGATATATTATAATTCATAATTTATATCTGTTCTTATGTTGATATTTATTAAGATTAATATATGATGTTTATTAACTTAAATAATTAATTATTATTCATCAAATGTTATATAATATAGCAAATCTATATATATCTTAGAATAAAATTAAAAATAATAGTATAGTATAGATTAGACATATTATCTTAGAATTTAATACTTATAGTTAATTAAAATTCATAATTAAAATTTATGTTCACATAATTAAATAAGAAACTAACTCTATCATCCTCATTCAAAACTGCTCCAAATATTGGACTAATTAAATATTGGGGAAAGTGGAATGAAAGAGAAATCATTCCATTAAATACAAATATTGGAGTAACTTTAAATCCTAATGATATATTTACAACAACAACCTTAACATTGAATCCAGAATCAAATAAAAATTAATTACTTATCAATGGCAAAGATTTTCCTATTAGTAATAGAATTGAGAGACTCTTTGGTATATTCAGAGAATAAATACTATAATCTAAATAATTTGCATCAAACAAATACAAAAATTCTCCATCAGATAAATCATTGGGTTAACTTATTCCTGATATAGAAAAATATGGAATTAGAGTTGAATCAAATAATTCATTTCCTACTGGCAGTGGATTAGCATCATCATCATCTGGATTATCAGCATTAGCATTATGTTTATAGGATATTCTGAAGACAGATATTGATGTACGATATTTGAGTAGAATTGGATCAGGAAGTGCATGCAGATGTTTGTATGGAAATTTTGTATTATTTCCAGGTGTTCAATTATAAAATTTAGATAAATCAGATTAGTAAACAATCAATTTGGAAAGCAAAAGATGTTTGCCATATGAAATTGAAAGTAGTAGATGGTTAAAAGAAAAAGTATCAATTGTGATATTAACTGATACACATTAAGGATAAAAAGATGTACTTTCAAAAGATGGAATGAAATTAACATGGGAAACTAGTAAGTTAATTTAGGGAAGAGTTAGAGAATATGTTGAATAACATATCAAAGAATTATAATTAGCTTTGGAAAAACAAGATTTTAATAAGGTGATGGAAACAATAATTAGAGATAGTAATCAATTTCATGCTACTTGTATGGATACATATCCACCCTTATTATATTTGAATGATTTTTCAAGACAAATAATTAAAATGGTTCATATTTACAATAAGAATGCAAAAAATATTGTTGGATATACATTTGATGCAGGTGCTCATGCAGTATTGTTAATTCATAATGATGAATTAGTATCTTTTAAGAAATTCTTATCAGAAGCATGTAAATGAAAATAAAAATATATTAGAAAACCTATTTACAAATTCGAAGTACATCATACCAAGTTAAGAATTTTGGACATCAATTGGGAATGGTCCAATCAATTTGAATTGAATAAGTTCAATGTGTATTTTATATTATTGTATTCATCATTATCTTAAAATACTTCTTTCACTAGTGCATAATAAATGATGTTATAAGAAATAACATGGAAACACTATGTCACCATCAAAGTACATTTAAGATAAGAAATATATGTTTCCATTCTTAGCTAGATGTCTTCTAAATTCCACCAATTATATATTCATCAATATAAATGAATATAAAACAAACAATACTAAAATCCTAATATATATAATATTATTATTATACCAAATAATTGCTGATGGAGCATCTTATATATTTAAATATAAACCCACAAATAAGATTTCAAACAAAAGTACAAATGATATTCTAATTAATAATTTAAATACTAATTAAGTACCTCCATGGTTAATCAGATACAAGGAAGCAATTTTTAATACCTTCTGATTTATCTAAATGGAAACAAAGTAAAATTATAATTAAGTTGATAAGTATTAAACCAATAACAACTTCCAAATTTAATTATGGATATAAGACTACTGCATATACAAACCAAAATAATCTCACTATAGTATTAACTCCCTATTTTTTAATTTATTAAATTTTACAAATAAAAATACGTTTTTAGGTTACTTTTGAGT